TGTTTTTCTGTAACTTTACTTTATTACAAAACACAGCACAACTCTTTATTATTTAAGACTTTGTTATTGTTTCCTTGCTTATGGATTTATGTTCAAATGTAATGGCTTACAAACAAACTAGTTAAGCCATTAACTATATAATTTACTCAATTAATTTTCCTTTATATAATTTATTTATCATTTCCATACAATCCACTTATCATCCTTAATTCAAAGATGATTTTCCATGATTTTTCCCAACACAATTTCTCCATTTAAAATGCCATAATTGAATTCAGATTTATCTGTGATTAACCAGCTATATTGGCCCCAATTTAATGACCGACCGCGACCGAATTCGGTTCGATCGATATTGCATTAACCTGGATCCAGGTGGAGACGACAAACGCTATCAGTTGGGAAACACTCTCGAGGGTTCAATTACGCTTACGAGGCACTTACTGTATCACAGGCTGCGCCCGATCCGCTAATCACGGCTATAGTCATAGTATTGGCACAATAAAAACGGAACCGAGCGGAGAACAATTAAATCGAGTATACGCCGCGTTAGCCGCCGGAGTCGAACTTGGCGGTGTTGTTTGTGGAGCGATCGGCGGGCACAGAATAAAAGCGCGAATCTGGCCAGACATTCAATTTAAAAACAAAAGTTGGCACTGGCACTTGGCAGTGGCAGTGGCAGTGGATGTGAGCCTCTATATCTCGATCCCAAAGCTCTCGGAAACCCGCTCGAGTGTACCGCTTTAGCCTTTCCCCTCTCCACACGGAGCACTTGGCAATGTCAGCGGTTAAGCACTAACATTAACATTGAGTCGGTCATAAATATAACCTGGTCCGGAGATCGGGTATGGGGATTTTAGCGGGGGATGATGGTACACATACGGAACATGTTACGTTTAGGCTCTTTTATTGCAATTCCACACTGACTTGGCCCAGACAGCGGAACGTGAGAAATAACTCAAAGCCGGAGACAGATGACAGCGGAAAGTTCGACATTTGTTAACAGCCGGTTGATAAAGATGTTGTCAATCTTGTAGGCCAGTGCACGCCTGCTCGGAATTCTTATCTACGAGATAAACTCAAACCTAATTGAGGGGGAGTTCTCTTTAAGATTAGCTGGCAAAGCTTTCAAGATAATTAACCCACGAGTTGCTGTTCTATGTTCTCTTTTTGGGTTGGGGAATTTCAAAAATGCAACTTGCAGACTGTCATTAACGATTGAAACTGGGTTTTGGCACACAAAAGATATGGAAACTGGTCATGACTTTGTAGACAAATTGAAGAGTTTAAGAGTTCTAGTATTTAATTCGAATATTACATATTAATCAAATGCTTGCGAATTTCTTTAAATTGATTTCTACAATTTCTACAATTATTTGGAAAACAATCAAAATCTTTAAACATTTACAGCTGTTTTTAGGTTAGCAACTTACAGTCTCTGGCGTTGACATGATGGAAACCGAGGATCTTAGACCTTCCACCAGGAACCTGAAGCCTGGAAACCTTTCACCCTGACCGGGCCGGTACCAACTGATCCGAACCCATGGACATGGCGATGGTAAGCTCCGATCTGCATGCAAAAATCCAACAATGCCGAGCAGCACAGCACAGCAGGCAGCAGAAACTGTGTCACCCTCAATTCCCACTTCCTTCGACGGGGGAGCCAAGCCAACCCCAATCTAATAATAATAATAATAATAATAAATCAGCACTCATCAGGCACTCGGAGGCAAACAGCACCAGAGGTGTCCGAAATGGGATTCGCTCTTTTGTGCGCAATTCGTGATTGAACCCAACGCATAGCGCCTAAAACTGTTTAGAGCCTCAAATTGAGAATAACAAAGCAATTTTTCAATTGAGCAGCCACGAAAAAATTACACGATGCCATGAGATATGAAATATGAGATATGGACACAGGCACATGGTTGGAAAGTAAAAGTCAGGGAAAATTGGCGAGGCCAAAGGGCAGTCGACCACCTGACCGTGGATGACATCGGATCAGGGCACTCAAAGAGAGATGTAAATGGAAACACGGAGAGCACATCTCGAACCAGAAATGGTCCAGCGGCACGTGTTCTTTGTTGTGTGACACCCAACAGGGCAGGCACAAGTTCAGGGCGAAATCAATTTTCCCCCTGGCCGTAATATACGACTACACACTTTGGCTAGCTATTGGATGCACTAAGAAAAATTAGGGGGAAACATATTTGCAATAAATTAAATTAATAGAAAAAATATACGGTAATTATGATAAATACATTTGTGGGTCTTTACTGCAAACCAAATGTTTGGTAACTCAAATAATAAAATGTAATAATAACAATTTTAATAAATAATATTAGTTCCCTTTAGACTTTCCAAGATAAACCGAATCCAAAAATTAATTAAACCTTGAATTAAATATAAAATAAAGCCTACATAATCTTTAGCTTTATAATATTTAAATTTAAACTGACTTGCTATTAAATATATACAAATTTACTCAAATATTTCAAAATTACATTATAATACCCTTCTTTAACCAATAAAATATTTATTTAAAACCCAGAAAATCTATCATAAAATCGAACAATTCCCTAGTGTACGCCCAATTTTGTGGCTCACTGTAAGCGTCAATATTCCGCAAATTAAATATAATTTAAACCGAACCGAGTGCCTGTATGCTTTTACACCTAATCAGATTAAATTCACATGCAATTATCACGGCATTTCCATATATTTAACTGCAAATGAGAGATTGAAAATCTGTCATTTTCATAACGATATCTAAATATATGTATTTAAAGCTGAAAGCTTTTTTTTAGCATTCAGTTAAATTAGAGTTTTCACCTCGAAGTCATCCTCCCTGGCAAAATGATGGATGTTTTTCCTTGACCAACTATGATTAATCCCAGTCGTAATATAAATAAATTGGCATAAATATTTTGCACCTATTAATCATACATAAGTTTATGACTAGGTGAGAATCACTGGCAATTCTAGCAAAGAATTAACACTCTTGACTTAATTGAAGCCGTCCATTGATCAGTAAGGCAGTAAACCATTAAATCATTAAACCATTAACCATATTAGCCCATTAGAGTGGCTTTGCCGACGTCATTGGTGAGAAGAAATGCGCAAATTTGTTTTGGCCAATTCGGAACCAGCTTCCCTTTCGATTCAAGCCAAAGTCAAGAGTGGCTAGACCAAAAGACTACGTCAGAGCTTGGCCAGATGGAGGAACTGGTTTTGGGGCGGCTATCAAGTATCGCTCTGGTTATTGATCGCTTTGCTCCAGTGAGGGATAACTGGGGTAATTCCCAGGCACATGCGGCGTATGCGCAATGCAGGCAAATGCTATTAAGACGCAGGAAATTTCAGGCCGTCGCAGAACACGACTCCCTTCTTCTCCCTCTCCCTCCTGAAGAAAAACCAGTTAACTGCCGCTGAGAAAGTGCATTAAGCCATCGTTGATTGAACCGAATATCAATGCAAGAAAAACAAAAAAAAAAACATGTTAATTGCCCGCCGATCAAAGTGTCTTGGCCTGCTGGTTGGTTACTGGTTCTTGCCATAAGCCAACAGCCATCGGCCAGACAATGCACCGCGTCCAAATATTTGGCAATGCCTCTCTGTGCCAAGACAGGAAAGTGGCCCACGGCTTGGAGATGGTGAGGAGGAACGAGGACCGAGGAACGAGGAACCGAGAAGATCAGGCCTTGATGGTTGTTGGTTACATGAAAACGTGTTGAGTGACTGTCATTAAGCGATCGCTTATGGTTAACAGATGAGCTTGGGGAATATGGGGGAAAGCTGCTTAGGGACAAGATGCTGCAGTCAATTGAGGGAATGCATTAAAGGGACTTGTCTGACAGAACTCCCAGGGAGATATTGCATAAATAATTGCATATGTTAATGAGTTCTTTTAAATATAATCTAACTAGGAAGTTGAGTTGCTTTAGAAACCTAGAAATTACTAGTACATAATTTAATCAAAACAAGCAACTAACCAGTGTGTCCAGTTTGTTGTAACTTGCCTTTAATAAGGAAAAGAGTTTGTGTTTAATTAGAAACCCTAAGGTTTATTAATCAGTAAACCTTAATTCTTTCTTAATTCAATATAAATATACTTCAAATTGTATTAAATATTATTTAAATAAATATTAAGCTCAATACAAAGCTAAAGTTCATTGTTCATTGTTGTCATAACACGTAAACTTATAGATCTTTAAACAATTCCCATCAACTAAGATCTGTAAGTAAACACAGACTATTTAAAGTGCTTACTCTCATTAATAATAATTAAGAATTTCTCACTTAATCTTCCAGTTAAAACTATAAGTTTAAATTCTACAAAACTAGAATGCAACTGTTAAAATCAATAACTATAGAAAACCCTGATCAATTAGGTGTTAAATGCAATAACAAAGAAACCCTGAAAACCATATTATTGATCTCGATAAATAAAGGAAATTGTTAAAATAAATATAAAACTATATAAGTAACCCTGAGGACTCTGTAACTTTCCTCTTAAAGCTTTGAATAATATACTTATTAAGTTTTAAGTTTTATTAAACAACTCTATAAGCCATAGGATATATAAAGAAAATCCCTGAGGACTCTGTAACTTTCCTCTTAAAGCTTTAAATAATATATTTATTAAGTTTTGGGGTAAACAACTCTATAAACCATAGATATATAGCCCTGAGGATCACTTGAACCGATTCCAGGATCTTCTATATTCTTTGTAATGCCCCCTAAGTGATCAGATTGGTACACAAACAAAAGCCACCGTTATACAGCATCCCTCCTCCCTCAGCCAAACCATCCGTTGGATTCTGCGACACTCGGCAAATGTGCGAGATGTTTCCCAATGTGTGTGTGTGTGTGTGTGTTTTTGTGTGTGTTTTGTATCTGAGCATGTGAAAAGTGAGTCTCGTCGATGGTGTGCGTGTCGTGCAACGTTTCGCGCGATGCTTAAAACTGGTGACCCACGTTGGGTCTGATTTAGTCGTTAACGCGCGGCCAACACGATCACACCGCAGATCCATCCGATCCGACCAACTATATCGCTCGTAGATCATCATCATTGCCTAGTATATACCCCATATAGTGTGTGTGTTTGTGTTTAGTGCCCGTTGATTTAGATTTATGTTTTTATTCTTTATACGAGTGTTTTCGGTTAATTGTCAAAATAATCAACTAACTAAGCGGCATTGCCAAGAGTTCGACATCGAATATATAATATATACATTTATATGCAACAGAAGCTGCACTCGCCTCCGTTAATAAACCAGAGTTTTGCAATCCCACAGACAACGACGGTAAGTGAGGAAAATTTCTGGCAAATCTCTATTTTTGTGTGAATTTTTGTGCTGTTTTTTTTCGGGCTAATTAGACAGCGGAAGTCGCAAAGCTCGACTTTTGCAAATTAGTAAGTCGGGTCTAAGTTAAATGAAGTATGACCCCCCATTAATTGCAGTTAAATTTAGACAAATCATCGATTGCAACAGTAATATATATAACAAACAATGTTTCTTTAAGAAATTAAGTAAAAAATTAATAAGCTGCATAATAAACAAAATTATTTCCACATAACAATAATGATCAAGATCTACTTCTTCTCCTTATAATGGAGCATTCTATTAAACTTACAATAAGTTTCCCCAAGTACAATTTCAATATTTACTCATCTCTCAGCCAATACACAATTATCAGTGGCATTATTTCAAGACTCTTTTCAAAATGTCTAAAGAAGTGCTATAAATCCATGGAACTTTATTTATTTAGCAAACGAGTCCCTGATAAGGTATAGCATAAAAGTCTCAGATAAAAGAAGCACACATCACTCATACGTCCAGTTGGCCAAGCTAAAGTATTAACAAACACAAATCCATGACTTCTTCGGCATTTGCACACTCTCGGGTAAAGGTTGGATAAATAGCGATGTTAACATATCACAATAAATAATTACTGAACATTGATTGCCAATTTTATATGCTTAACGCTGTCATTAGCCAGTAGTATGCATCAAATTAATCAATAATATTAACTTTCAATAAAGGTGTTGTGCAAACTAAGTGTGCATTATTCATTTTAAATTTTTAGATAAATTTTCCCAAACCTAAAATACAAATGTAACCAGTTATTAACACAAATCGAAACCAAGTATATAATTATTGACTATTATTATTGTTTCGGTGAAGTAAGTTTTTTTATGTTAACATTAAGCTTTTTGTTCCGTAACCCAGTTTAAGGAAAATATATGAATATTAATAAATATATTTTCAAATATGTTATGTCGTTACAAATTTTTTGTGATAGTTATTGAATAACAATTTTCCTGTGTAACTATCGTTATTTTTCCACCTCTCCCAAAACGCCTTGATTAATGTATGTATGGCCTGGCATGGAAAATTCGATTAAAAACCTGCCCTGGCTGTTTAGTTGCCACTTCGCCACATTCGTCGACCGAAAACAGAAGTTAATCTCCCCCTCTGCCTTCATTGAGTGCAACTTTTCCACCTGCCAAGAACTTTTCCACTCCAAAATTCACTGCCAGATCCAGCAGAGTTGAAAATTGTGGTTTCGAAAAGCGAAATGATTAAGCGGAGCAAGGCCGACGACTTTTATAAGCCAGTAATAGCCGCTTAGAAGCCGATCGCGTTTGGGCCAGGCCAAGAGATCCGCTGCCAACCTGAAATGCGGCGCTGTCAATTGAAATTTGTATTCCGCGGCGGCGAGTCAAGTGCTGCAAACGACGACGTCTAAGGCCAAACAACCTACCCTGGCTCATTGAACTTGGCTAAGTCTCGGGTCTAGACATTAAAAAAACCAAAAACCAAAGCAGCATTAGTGAGTAAATAAAAGCACAATAAAAAATAACAGCATAGAAACCAAAACAAAAAAGCCGAGAGAGTCGCGTGCCGCTTTCAATTGATATTCCGCTGGCGTTCACGTGAACAGAATGCGAGCGGGCCAGCGAGCGAGCGATTCATGGGGAATTCTTGGCTCAAAACATTTTCAAAAATATTTTGTATTGCCTATTAATAGACAGCTGCAAAAAAATAAGGGGGAAAATAGAAAAAGAAATACGAAAAAAGGAAACGATGAGGCCCACTAAATCATGCACAGCCAAGTCAAAGCAAATTGCCAATTTTGCAAATCGACATCGTCACATAAAATTAATTTATTTACATACTATAATAACGCAAATGCAAATGCCAATCCAGTTAAAACCGCCTGCACTTCATTAGTAAAACAAACTAAACGGGGTTTGTTTTGTTTTGTTTTTTTGCGGATAGTTGAAATAAATTATGGAGATTATTTCTGCGAATTCTGTTTTACGTAGTCTCTTGACCATTGTCTATTTTCGGTGATGATCTACGATAGTTTTTAAAAGCCGGAATTGGATTATTAGAAAGCTCTTCTTAAAGTTTTTTAAGGGCTTCAGAATTTTAAATACAATTAGTTAAATTAAAACATTACTTGTTCGAGTTTACTATATTTCAAAGACCGACTTGTACTTTCATTCAAATTATTATGCAAGACAGCATTTAGGAATTTCACATAAAATCATTAGACATGCGAGTCATAAACTGTATTTACCTTTCATAGATATTACTCATACGACCTGTTAATTTTTCATTATATTCTTCAAGCCGGAATTGGTCTATTAAAACCTCTCCTATAACAGAAAATTTCCCTTTAAATCATTATTTATGCCAGCTTAGCAATTGTTCCCTATTATAAATGTATTATTTTATATAGATTTTCCCAGAGATTACTCAAACTCAGTAGAGTTCCCAAAAGTCAATTCAGTAAAATCATATAATAAAGAGCTCCCCCTGAGAGATCGGTTAATGACTTCCGCATATTTCAGACTTTATAAGTGGCACAGAAAACCCGGCGTACTTGAGATTATGCAGAGAGTCATTGAGGTTCTTGATTGGATCTGGGTCTGACATATCATATCACAACATATATGATCTGCAGATATGATCTGAACAATTAGCTAATGACAATTGCAGGAGGCACGAATAGGAAAAGTTATAGCAATTTGCCAAAATTTCCATATCTCTCTGAGATTATCTTAACTGGAAGCAGTAAACTCTTGAATTGCTTGTTGTCACACAGCTAAACAGACATATTTTCTAATTAAGCAGGGACTGTGATTAGAAGGAGGAGGCGAAGGCGGAGCGATTAGGGCGGACAAAACAAAGTCTGATCCGTAGACAAGTGACACTGAAATTGGCTTTTGTTATTTCGCTTTCGTTCTATTTTAGCACGTCTCGAAAACACTGCACGAAATGCCAGGTACTACTAGTACCCTTTAATGGAGGAGGTGTGTGGCTGGGGCAGGGAATGGGTAGCATGGGTATGCAGTCGGATCGGGGCAATGCTTTGCTAGCACTGAACTTGACATTGCCGAGGTCTGCTTTCAATTTAGAAATATGTCAGCGGCACAAACTATTTTCAGAGCAACGCGCACTGTGCACATCACGCACTTGTTGCGCCACAGATACAGATTCAGATAAAGATAGAGATACAGATACATTAACAGACAGAGAGAGAGAGTCGTAGATACAACTCAGACAGCTTAAGTGTTACAGGTGGGAAATGTATCTGAATTATGAAGTAAAGTTAAAGATATTTCCGGCTTTAGTTGATTTATTTTTATGGTTATCTTCAACAGCACTTAATTTTCTTGTTTATGTTAATACAAATTCAAAAAACCTTTAAATACATAAATTAATGTATCTGTTTTATTCCAAAGTCATGACTAAGAATGGGCACAGCAACACAGCCTATGTCAGCGATCATGCAGACAAGTTGGAGCTGGCCGAGAAGGGTCAGAAGAACAAGGCCATAGTGGCCAAGGATCCCGACTACAATCCCTACCATAATCGCGAGGTAGAGCATCCCACAACGTAAGCAAATAACACTAAACATAAATATAACAAAATTAGTTACTAACTGTATGTTTTTCCTATAGAAATTCGGAAACTCTCTTCCATTTACTGAAGGGTTCCCTGGGCACTGGTATTCTGGCCATGCCCAATGCCTTTCGTAACTCTGGCTATATCACAGGCTCCATTGGCACTATAGTTATTGGATTTATTTGTACATATTGTATCCATCAATTGGTCAAAGCAGAATTTGAATTGTGCCGAAGAAAGAAGGTAAGAAAATATATTTATTCTGGTCAAGTATTTCTATAAGTAATAAATTTACAATGTGTATATGTAAGTTATCAGCAGATGTTTTAGAAATATTTCAATTAAAACAGTTTCTTCTTCTTTAAGCTTTTTGAAACCTCATTTGATGTTAATTAGTAGTTTTTTCAATCAACTGTATTGGATATTATTTTTAAAGCAAAAGAAAACTTAATAGTTATTTAATAAGTATAAACATGGTTATACTTTTAGTCAAAATCTTATTACTGTGTGAAGGAATTATTTCCGGCCCTATAATCCATATATATTCTTGATCAGCATTATCAGCCGAAACTTTCTAGGCATATAGGAAAGGGGAAAAAATTTTGAAATTTTTTTCAAAATTTTATAAGGGGTTAAAATCGTTAAAATATTCGAAATTTTAGAAAAATTAAAAAATTTTTAAAATGTAAAATTCAGTATGCAGATTTATTATCCCTGTAAAAACTAACATGGGACAGCTTTCCGAATTAAAATTTAGACCTTTATGGCGTAGTTATACGTTTTTTAAACTTTGATTAGTCGATAAAATGTGATATAAAAAAATGGATTCTAAAATGTGAATATTTTAGGCTTATTTGTAATCCATGTCCGATTCGATGCTATAATTCAATTACTAGCTGCAAGGGTTTATAAACTTCAGCATCTTCTTGTTAATAATTAAATTTAATTAATAGAAATCCCATATTTTAATAAAATCTCCCCACAGATGCCCAGCATGAACTACCCTGCAGTGGCGGAGACAGCTTTGGGCGAAGGACCCAAGTTCTTCCGTTCTATGGCCCCATACATAGGAACCGTGGTCAATACCTTCCTGCTGATCTATCAACTGGGCACCTGCTGTGTGTACGTCGTATTCGTGGCCTCCAATATTAAGGCCATTGTGGATGCAGTGGGGGATACCAACATCGATGTCAGGCTCTGCATGATCATTATCCTGTTGCCCTTGATCCTGATCAACTGGGTGCGCAACCTCAAATATTTGGCACCATTCTCCACGCTGGCTAATGCCATCACCATGGTCTCGTTCGGAATCATCTGCTACTACATCTTCCGGGAGCCAGTGACCACAGAGGGCAAGGATGCCTTCGGCAAGCCAGAGAACTTCCCGCTATTCTTCGGCACTGTGCTTTTCGCACTGGAGGCCATCGGTGTTATCCTGCCGCTGGAGAACGAGATGAAGACACCTCAGAAGTTTGGCGGCAGTTGTGGGGTCCTCAATGTGTCCATGGTCCTGATAGTGTTCCTGTACGTGGGCATGGGCCTCTTTGGTTACCTCAACTATGGATCCGCGGTGCTGGGATCTATTACACTGAATATGCCAGAGCACGAAATGTAGGTTTATTTAATGATCTCATGTATTTATCCAGTGATCTAATGAGTACTCTATCCTTTAGCCTTTCTATGTGCGTCAAGGGAATGTTGGCCTTTGCTATCTACATTACCCATGGCTTGGCCTGCTATGTGGCCATCGATATTACCTGGAACGATTATGTGGCCAAGCGATTGGGCCCCCAACGAAACGCTCTCTTCTGGGAGTATGCCGTGCGAACCATCCTCGTTCTGATGACCTGTAAGTATGCTACGGAATTTGTTTCCAAATATTCTATATAAAAAAAAAATTCCCTATTTAGTCCTCCTGGCCGTGGCCATTCCCAACCTGGAGCTGTTCATCTCCCTGTTTGGCGCCTTGTGTCTTTCTGCCTTGGGTCTAGCCTTCCCAGCCCTCATCCAGATCTGCACGCATTGGTATAACACCAAGGGACTCAGCAAGGCCTGGCTGCTACTCAGTGAGTTTATCTCTAGATTATAACTGAAATCGGAATACTAATATTTAATTATCTTAGGCAACTTTGTGCTCATCATTGTGGGCATCCTGGGCTTGGTGATCGGCACGTATACATCCCTCAAGGAGATCGTGCTAACCTTCTCGGAGTAGATGCGTGATGAACCTACTAAATCCGCCAGCGGGCATTCCAATTAAAGCGAAAGTATTATGAGCAATCGGAAGATATTGAAATCTGTAGACATTCGCAGTGCAGCACAAATGACAAACAGATACCGATGCAGATACGGTTAAAGATATATAGATACAAATGCAGATACTGTGGAGCTGTGGCTATACTATTTGTTGCGTATTTGTATAGAATTTATCAGATTTGTGATATTTTTAAGCATCGTGCCCAAGAATCTGTACAACAAATATGTGTGTGTATATCGTATATATCTCTTTATGTAGTAGATAACATCTTGATAAGTAGTTTAGTGCCAAGTCACATCTTTATAAGCCTTATTTAAATATGATAGCAGTCAGCCCACATCAATAAACATTATTTTGCCATATTAAGATACGCCATGGGTGATCTTCAGCGCTTGCATATAATCCCTGAGAGCGTGGCACAACCTCCTGGCCCCATCCACCAGCTTATCTTTTGGGTAGAACGCAATGGACAATCGGAAGAACTGCTTACCCGTCTCGCCATCCAAGGAGAAGCGTGGTCCGGCTATGAAGTAGATCTTGTGATGCTCCAAAGTGTACTTGAGAAACTCCCTGGCATCGAGGGAATCGGGTATCCGAACCCAGATGAAGTACCCGCCCGAAGGACTAACTAGCTTGCATCCCTCGGGCAGCTCATTGCGAAGCACTTGGGTGGTGGCCAGCATTCGTTCCTTGTAAGCCTCGAAGAACCGAGCTATCTGTTCCTGGGCCAGTTTTAGCTCGAAGAGACTTCCCACAATACCAGCCGTGTAGTTATTAAGGCAACCGCCGCTGTTGGCAAATCCACTTCCATCCAGGATAGGCTTCACCCGCGGTGGAACCTCTAGCCAACCGACACGTACGCCAGGTCCTAAGATCTTTGAGAAGCTTCCGTTGGAGATGACATGGCCAGCAAAGTCGGGATCACTTCTGTTATCATAGGACATTAGGCGTGAATGCTGCGGCTTCTCTCCATAGTGCAGAATAGTATACACATCATCGCAGACTACCAGGAAGTCATATTTACGGGCCAGCTGCACAATTCCACGACAAATCTCTAAAATTATTAAAATATGATAATTTCCATAAGATTACTAGCAAAATACCATCACACCTGGTGAAAACAATATCCCAGTGGGATTATGGTAGGTGGGTATAGTGTAGTATATCCCCCAGAACTCCTTTGTCTTCGAATCAAAACGCCGCTTGGCCACCTGCTCCTCGAGATCCTTCAGATCCACACCATCATCGTTAAGCTTTACAGGAACTATAGTTAGACTGGTAAAATGTTTCATGCTATCCAGGGCTATCATATAGGTGAACTCATCCACAAATATAAAGCCCTGGAAGTCGACCACCGTCGAGAGAAGCAAGTGAAGGCCCTGGGTAGCTCCCGTGGTTATCATAAGATCCTCACTAGAGTAAACAACAAACATAATGAGATAATTGTTAAAACCACACAATCCACAAACCGATTACCTTTTGACGGGGCTTCCATACATTTCACTAAAGTATGTAGCAATCTCATGGCGCACCTCGAACGCCCCACTGGTTGGTCCATACTGGAAAATCAGCGACTGGTTGTCCCTCAATTCCCGTTGCTGCAAAAGAACCCCAGCAAGGTCATTTCAAAGAGCAGATTGCGTAATTGGCTTCACTCACCAGACAATGGTCCGTGGCCTTCCTGAAGTTGTCGCAATTGGAGCTGAGGAGATCCGTTCCCGGTGCCCCAACTCCGAGATTTAGGATGTCCGGCTCGTAGACATTCCAAGCGCCGCCATCGAAGAGGTGCTTGAGCTTGCGATCTTCAGTGTTCTGCGACATGTGTTCTGTAATTTTTCTAGCATACTAATGCCTTATCTGTGCTCAGTGTACTCAATTTATAGAAAACAATGGAAAAACTAACATTTTGGAAGCCTACATTTTGTACCCATTAAAGGGGCAATCCTAGGGATATAGGAATTTTCGACAGATGAAAGATTTCCTTATTGTACATGAACCCGCCATTACATTTCCAATAAAGACCTATATATACAAATTTCTATAGAAATATTTAAGTTGAAATATTCGTTTTCGTATTCAATATATAATTAATTTCGAAATAACAATTAAATGTAAAAAACAAAAGGTACTGCAAAGTCGAAACTCTTAACAAAACAATAATGCTTTTTCTGGTGAATGGCGAAAAGTTTCAAAGCCATTCGCAACGCACCACCATTAACAGCTGATTGCAGCTATCACTTTGTTTTTGGAAAAACTCGGAAAAACTCCCAGAGATGGATGCTGAGAAGCCCACTACAAGTGCATCTGCTGCCGCGGCACAGGATCCAAATCAGCTCCTGGACTCTCCGCAACACGGACCTACCTTGTCCAGCGCATCCAGTTTTGAGGCATTGACGCGCCACGACCCGAATCTTAGTCGGCTGGCCACGAAAATGTTCCAAAAGACGGAGGAGTACATCACCCACGAACTGAATGCGCCCCTGGAGGACTACAAGCTGCTGGAGGACATGAACAAGGCTACCATAGCCAAATACAAAGATATGCGACAAATTGCGGAGAACCTAAATGCTTCGACCAGCGAGCTCAGCCTGAAGTTTCAGCAATTGGCTCCACTAATGCAGCAAATTGATGAGATCTCAGACACAGTGGACAAACTGGAAGCGGCGGCCTACAAACTAGACGCCTACAGCATCGCTCTGGAAAACCGTGTAAAGTGCGTGCTCCAAAGGAAATCCGGTGGTCAGGTGGCGCAGTGAACAAATAAGACTAGTCGTCTGTCTACAAAGGCTTTATGTGGTACATTTATTACAATAGATCTTATGTCGTCAACCAAGTAATAATTTAAATAAAATTGCAATTATGTTAAGGAATATCAAGGGAACTGCAAAACGGATATTCTTAGTAAAGCACAGCAGAGAGACTCAATATAGCCTTACTTACTCTTGGCCACTGTTCGAATGGAGCGGATGAGGTTTAGCACTTGATCCTTCGCCGTAGGAGCTCCAAAATCCTGCTGACCCGCCTGCCGACCCCAACCAACTGCAAAAATATGCAAAAAAACTTAATATCGCGTGGCACGGACAGAATACTTGACACAATTACTTACACTTGGCTAGGAATCGCTCCTCGTGCAGGATGCAGACTGCGTTCAGGCACAGCAGCGAAGCTTCGATCAGTGTCCACAAAGTAAACATATTAGCGGCAAATTACTACTTTATATTCTCAACCAAGATCGGATCGGCGTTTAGTTGTTGACGTCAGTGATGCCGACTTGTCATTCACCGCGAATGCTGACACAGCTGTTTTGCAGCATTGAAATATCAGTATTAGAAGAAGAAGACTGCGCGCAAAATATTCAATTTATTTTGGTTTTGTACTGAATTTATTTTCTATGAAAATTGAACAATCTTAATATTATTAACATATTTATTGAGACCACGGTAAAACACCCAAGGCACACTTGGACCAGTCGTTATCTGAAAGTAATCAAAATAAAATATAAAATCATTATATATTTAATTTTTTCACCAATTGAATTTTTTTGTAAAGTATTGTTAAGACTTAAAAGTGTGAAAGGAAAAAAAACCCACCTTTCTCTATTGTCCAAATACCTAAATCTGAGGTTTCAACATTAGAAAATGTACTTCCTTTACTCAGAGCTTGTGCAGACATAAGTTTTTCCAGATAATCCAGGTTATAGCTCTCCATCGATATACTGTTGTCTTCCATAGGTTCTAGTTCTTCTGATTTCTTGGATTCCTGCAAGCGTATATCGCAGAGTTTGGCCAAAGTCGCCTGCTGAATCTGACTTAAAGGTGGATCTGCCAGAGGCAGCAAGCTGAAAGCAATGAATATAGCTTTTTAATTCAGTAAATACTTAGTAATTTAAAGCTTACCCCTTGAGAATAGGGCCTGTGTATTTGCTAAAAGGAACCACACGCTGCATAATAAACTCCCGATCGAACACCCACGTTTTGGCCTTTTTGGGATTATCTCCAAAAATAAGAGTCACTGAGGAATCCACACCTGAGTGAACTAAGAGGCTACGCATGGTTTTTGAATGCACGTTAGTGTTGAGGGAAGAGAAATCCACTGGTTTTAACTTAGTGTCCTGGAAAAATTGGGAAAAGTTAGCATCGGGTTGAGCATGTTAACTATTTATCTACAAACCAAATCTAGTTCCTCCTTATACATCCGTTTCATGCGAAACAGCATTAAAAAAGTTTTGATCATCTTCATGGCCCAGTAACTGGCTCCCAGTCGCGTTATATCTGTTTCATTTGGATTTTCAGTCAATCGAACCAAGGCTACAAAGAAGTTTTCGATGTACCCCTGCATGGCGAGTAGTCTAAACAGATCCTGGGTTCCAGCAATAAGCACATCCTCGTCGTCATTGATTTCCAAACCTATGCTCAGGAAGTACTTCATTTTAAGAAGGCAGCCCATGTAGATATCCAGCAAATCCTTCATTGAAGAGGACTCCTTTTTTATCTTAGCATTAAGGTCATTTAGCACTAAATCAAGGATTTCCTTGGAGGTCTTTGCCTTCTTGCTTGAGGAGTAGACGCGTATCTTGTTAAATTCCGCACTGGATTTAAGTTTGCTGATAGCCTTAAGCTTATCCGCTCCCTTGAGGTGACACTCTAGGGTCAGGTCATAGATCTCCAGAAGATTGCTAATATCTTTTTTGAACTTCAGCTTATCTTTGCGCTGCAGCTTTCCAGCATCCAAATTGGACATGGTCTCCTTGTGCGGTAGCCAGTAATACGTCCGCAGCCACTCTAGACAGTGCTTAGAAGTGCTCCTCAGCACCTCCACCGGTGGCAGTTCCTGTCCGTGAGCGCACAAGTGACGCAAATCCACAATGAATGACTGGAGCCCCAACTCCTTGGCTGTCTCGTACATGCTGCTCATATTGTGACCCTGGATTATCGAGGACATGAAATTGTAGAATCTTGTAAAGGCGCTGGCATATGTGGTCTGTATCTTGGCATTGCCCTGCTTGTCCTTCAGCTGGGCTTGGACGAGCACCGAAGTGGCCAAGACAGCCGCCGGGCAGAGGTTTGCACGCCGCAGGCTCCAAATCCGGATCCTACTCAGGGCTTGGCGACGACCAGTGGAATTGGAGCCTTTGCCAAATAGCCCGTCATATGTCTCATTGAACTCCACTCTGGAAAATCGTAAAATAAATTAATGTTTACCTATTAAATTTAATGCACGCACGTGTCTCTCCAAGGGGTCACCACTGTCCTTTGTTTTACCGCTACAGGTGTGGTAACAGGGGAAGTTTTAACGTTCTGCTGTTTGGCCTTCTCAGGGCTTTTCTTTTTAGTCGGTGACTTTTGTTTTTTCTCCACTGCCATGTCTGTTATTAATTTTAATATTTTTTAAGTTTTAAGCAAAACAAACCGCCTATGCTGTCAATGATGGCAAACGGCTGGGCCTGCCAACGTACTTAAAGAAAAATTTAGCTTTTTTTTAGCTATTTTCCTTTCAAATCTTCAGTTAAAATAAAATAATACAAAATTTGTAAAATTAATTTGTAAAATCTATTGGAGATCCAGTACCTTTTCCCTTTAAATATTTAATCTTTTAAATTTTATATATATCAGGAGTCGGATTGTACATTTCGCTTAACATACTCTTGCAGAATATTAAAATTTTAGTCCAAAGTTTAAAACGCAGTGAAGGAGTCATTTCCGACCCTATAAATCATATATATTATTGATCAGCATCAACAGGCGAATCGATCTGGTATGTTTGGAAAAATAACAAATTTTTCAACATTTTTGAACATTTGATAAGGAGTTATATTGTTATTTTTTCAGAAGTTGGTAAAAATTTTAATTCTTCTTAAATTTTAATCTGAGTGTGAAGATTTATAAATCTAGTCAAAAGTAGCAAAAAAAAGCTTTCCGAATTCAAATTTATTCATTTTTAGCTTAGTTATGGCATTTTTTAAACTTTGGTTTTACCAAAGAAAAATTTATTAACAAATTTGGAAAAAAGTCGATATACTCTCAGAGTATCTATAAAGTATATAATATATAGTAAAATCGGAATGAGTCGGAAGACAATATCATGTACTTTCCATAGGAACAATCGGTAATTTTTTAGAAAAAAATTTAATAAATTTTCGAGTTTTCAACATATTTTCATCTAATATGAGATATAGTCATTTATTATTATATCAGAATTGGTTTTAACTTTATTAAAATCGAGCGATTATATCATATAACTGACATAGGAACGTTCGTTAGAATGTGTAAACTGTGAAAATGTGAAACTGTAAACTTAATATTTATTGGTGAATATAATGAAATAATGTCTTACTTCGTGTTTTTTTTTTATTAACATAAATAGATATAGTTTATATTAAATTAATTATTAATGATCGAATTTCGATCTGCAAGGGTATACGAACTTCGGCGTGCCGAAGGTAGCTGTCTTTCTTCTGTAATTCTCATATTAGCTCACATTTTTAGCTAATTTTTGCTTGAGCAGCTCTGATGGCCAGCTTATAAAAGAGTGTGACCAGCTTTACGTATTACAATTAGACAGCCAGTTCTCGAAAAGTTCCAGCGTTTTCCCGCCAACTGGTCTTACTTGGAGCCAAAAATAATATTTTCTTCCTAAATTTCTTCCTACCCCCAAGGGGATCCCGCCGAAAAGATCCTTTAATTCCCGCTAGCCACGACAACACATGCATTTCGCCCACCATCCCAGCTACACGTACGGCAGCAACCACAACCACTTGGTGGACACTCTGAATCCGGAAAATATCGAGTTCGATGGGCCGCCAGCGGCGCGTAAGATGATAATAGGCTCGTTCTCGATGTTTGTGATCTTCTCGTACCTGCAGTTGCTCTACATTCTGGTGGCCATCTATTTGGCACTGCACCACGCACACCATTAGGGTGTACCATGTACCATTTTATGTCGGAGCAAACGCCGGAGCTGCGGCTCTCGGCGGAATCACTGGTAACCAGCCACGTGACGCAGTACCTCAAGGGCTTCCAATTGGAGGCTGTCCGCTTTCTTTACGATCGCCTATCCAAGCGAGAGTTCAGCGTTCTCAACGACGAGAGTGGATTGGGAAAGCTAGCAACGGTGGCTGCTCTGCTAAGTGCTTTGGATCGGTCGAAGAAGATCCTGATAGTGCTACAGAACGATGAGCAGCTGCTTGCCGGCTGGCAGTTCCACCTGGATACACTTACGGATCTCGCGGTGTATACCATTCAAGGGGTGCAAGGTAATTGCCCTAAAAATGTGTGATGTTTATTTGAATGTGTAATTTTATAATATTTCACAATACTTTGAAATTATATTAAATAATTCACTATTTTTCTCAACAGACACCACAGACTCGCCGCACAACATTTACCTGGCCAAGTGGAGCAGTTTGCGTAGCATTGGAGATCTCAGTCGCCTTAAGTTCGACTATATTCTGGTAGACAATCGTGGGCACTCACTGAATAACAGCTTCTGCACCTCCATGCTGCTCAAGCACTTTGAGGGCAAAGTAAACATAGTTATCTCCAGCGTTGACATTACGGTGAGGCAATCGGAGTTGACGTACCTTAGAGCCAGCTAATTCACTTAATTTCTCATTCCCAGTCCGATGTGAAGTTGCTGTACAATGTCTTGCGGCTAGGCGGGCGACTTGAGCATCAGTATCGAAACTTTCAGAGCTTCGACCGGAAGTTTCACCTGCCCGATCCCAAAGAGGTGTTCAGCAAGCGCATAGATCTCGAGGATTACTACAAGCAGCGTGGATTTCTCAGCGAGTATATCAAGTAAATTACCCAGTAAAGGAAACAATTATCTAATATGTAGAGTATATTAATTGTATTGCCCCTTTTATGGTCTTTTAGGGACTTCCGTCTGCGTCGCTTTCGACATCAGTTTGAAAAGAGCCTGCCGCTCGTCGCGCCGGAACAATACAAACACAACCTCAACCTCTGGCTGGCCTCCAAGAACAGTCAGAGCACCATCAGCGGCTCCTCGGAGGTCTGCTCCACCATTGCTTCCCTAGAAAACCTTCCCGCTCAACCACAAGAGCTGGATAAATTTTCCGACCACAGCGTCGATGATATCGTTGCGATGTCTCCGCTGGTCTTTGAATCTTCCGACTCTGATGTCGAGGCCATAACAGTGGAAGCTGTACCAAACCCTAACCAGGTCTTGGTAGTTTCCAGCGATGATTGTGAGATCGTGACGCCTCCAAATACGCCGCCGAATCAAACGCCCAGCGTGAACGAATCGCCTAGATTCAAGTCTAAAAGAAAGTTCAGCAAGCGGATGCCGCAAAAAAAGAAACTGGAGCTCACCGAATCGGAAGAGGAGGACGGTGTCCCTGAAGTGGTTGTGCCCCCCAGAAAGCGTACCCGTTCGACTGCTGCTGCTGAGCCTCCCAAGACGAAAAAGCTCAACATCCGACTGAGAAGGGTATCCTTAGAAAGCATACCCACAACACCGCCAGCCGCTGAGAAAGCTGCTCTGCTTGCCACACCCAAAACCGAGCCCTCAGCTAGAAACCGAAAACGAGGCCGGCCAGCAGTCAGTCCACAAGATACGGGACGTCCAGCCACTCGAGGAATGCAGCGATTAACTCGATCCGCCGAGTCTAAACTCAATAGCAAGTACTTGAAACACTGCAGCCTCGAAGATACCAAGAAGAGCACTCCCAAGAGAGTCAAGGCTGATGAGAACCGAACGCCCAGGACAAGCAAAACGAGGGTGAAACAGGAGCTGAAGAAAAAGCCAGCTGAAGATCAGCTGGAGCCCCCTAACAAGCCCGAAACGGAGACTCCCAAACGAAAGTCGGGGCGTCCAAGAAAATGCAAGGAGGAACCAAAACCAAGTACCTCAAGAAGAAAATCAAAAGCTAAGCCCCCAGGCAAGCAATTTAATCCCACGCCCCAAGTGCTTAGCGGCAGTTCCTTGTCCTCGGAATACATGCAATGTGCCCAGCGGATCCCAGACAACTTGGATATCATAGAGCCGCCTGCCTTTCGGGTACCCTTCACGCCGCAACAGACGCCCTTGCTTCTGAAGCTTCCGTCTGCTTTTAATTTACTTAGCGATTCGGAAGTGGTAGCCATCTCTCAAACGAAGTCCCAGGTTGAAGCGGTGGTGATTAACAGCTCCCATGATGAGAGCTCTCCGCAGGATGCCACGCAGAGTCGTCGCACCAAAGCCTTGAAACGAAAGCGGAAACCGGAGTCGCCTACCAAGTCCAGTTTCGGCGGAGGATTGGGCTTGCCGCCGGCTAAGCGAAGTGCAAACAAATCACCGGATTTATTTAGCATCTCCTCTGATATATCGCAGATTCCCCTGGCTCAGCCAAGGCCTTCGTCGCCCTTCGTGGGTTTTAAGATCTTTGGTTCGGAGGTAAAGCAATTCCAGCAGCAGCATGCCAGGACAAATGCTACGACTCCGAAAAAGAATCGCGAGCGCTCTTGCCTAGATATCCTAGAGAAAATATTCGAGCCACGCCAGCCACAGAAGGAGAAAACCAGCCCCAAAGTCTTGCCCACGTTGCCGCAGACTCAGAAAGATCCTACGACATCATCAGAAACCATCATCACCCAGCGACGGAGGACGCTGCTGGAAGATGACTTCTTTGAGATCACCAATAATGGACAATTCGGCAGTCGCATGAGGCTGAATTCGTCCGGAGATGTATCGCCTGTTCAACCGGATCAACAGTCCGTGAGGGCCACGCAGGCCAATAAGATCACAAACTATTTGATAGGATCGGGACTCACCCAGGAAAAGACCCAACCGAATACAGGAACGCGGAGCTCCATAGCCGCCGCCACGCAAGCACTACGAAAGTCTCCCAAATCCCCTAGACAAAATGGAAAGGCCACCCAGGTCACCAAGCTCACTCGCTGGTTCGGCTCTGTCTTCGGAGGCGGTGGAACCTCGCAGACCAGCTCCGTGGAATCAGTGAGTGCCCCGAGTACACCGGTAGCACCTTCCACAAGTGCAGCAGCCTCTCGAACACGAGCGGCGAGAAGTGGTGGTGCCGGTGGGGGACCCACCAGACGAAAGCGATTGGACTTGTTTAAATAAGGAGCAAAAGAAAGACAGCAACCTTAAGTTATAGTTAACAACAGCATATTCAAGGTCTGATTATAAAAGGGTAAATATTGAATTTAAAATGTACATTTACTTACAAAATCAGATATTTGAAATGAAGAAACTGACATGAATTAATCAAAAGCCAAGCTAAAGTTAACAGTAGATAAACTTGTGCAAAAAAACGACTATTGTAGGTTGTAGAATCGATCTGGTACAATGTTAACTATAAAACATTAGCCAGCATGAAAGTAAATAACTAGCCAATTTAGTTAAAATTCAATTTTTTGTGCACATTTTGAACATTATAAACCCCTAAGTCCGCCGATTGAGAAGACATGTAAACATTTTAACATTTATAAATTATTTAAATCCCACAAGAAGTACTGAAGTTTAGATATGTAAACTATTATTTTCTAAAAGATGATAAAGTATGGGTTACTAAGTACCATAAAATAGTTCTGAAAGCTATTATTTAAATACCTCAAAGATTCGGACTGGAAGTAAAGCATTTTAAAATTAAATAATCGCTTTGTTTTTATTTAGTCAAAGAACTTGACTTAAATTACAGGATTTAAGTATCATTTGAACACATTTACTTCCCCTTCTGCTTGCTGAATATATGTGTTAGGTTGTGCATCACCGCCTGCCTCTGGAACTCCAACTCCCGGCGACACATGCTCCCCAACAGGGGCGGACACTGGTACTGGATATTCTCCTGGGCGAAGGTATCTCCATTGGAGTTCTTGAAGATAAAGTCGCTGTGAGATTGCACTACCAACATTGGAAACATAGTTAATAATTTTGTTTTTAAATCATTTTCTCTCCAACTTACAGCAGTAGAATCCACTGAAAAAGCAGGTCTGGTGGGTGGACTGTATGGCATAGGCCACTGGCGTCACTCCGGGCATGGTCTTGGTAACCACATACTTGGCTGTAGCTGTGTTTATCCAGTGAGGCCAATGGGACAGGCGCTCAGTATATTCCACCGTATAACGCCAGTCGTGGGCGTGGCCATGGTCGGCTAGGATCTTAAAGTTGATGCTGAACGAAGTAAGAATTATATACATATATCATTGGGAAATTAATCTTTAATCTCTCTATATTAATTTACAAACATTTATAAAGTTCAGGTTAATACTCACATGGTGGGGTTAAGCAGGCGCATCTTGTTAAAATCCGCCACATACTCCCAGACCTTTTCCGGTTGCGTCCGTCCGATAATGCCCTCGATCTGGTACTTGTGATATCCGCTGGAGAAAACAAATACGTAGAGCAACAGGGCGGTGCTGAGGAGCAGCGAGACCCGCTTTATATTCCAGCGACTAATATGCATAGTTCTGTTCCGTATGGATTTCCGACACCAACTGACGATCGTGTGTATATGTCGGCCTATTCGAATTTCAAATAAACACATGCTGGATGGAGAGCTCACCACTGGCCCACCGGATTCGGGACGCAGCCTCAGAGGGGTACAGAGCGGGTGTACCACACATAGCTGAAAGAGAAAGATAAACAAAAAAGGGATCTTCAAGTACAGTGGCATAGGGAAGTAAGAACGGGTCTCTTTCTGGTAAAAAAGAGAGATTTCTTGGTGTGAAAAGAGAACCACCATCAGCTTCTTTACTGATAAAAGTAATGATAAAACAGCAGGCCAGGGATCTGTTATGATTAAATTTAAAATTTCAGCTGTGTTTAGGATTTATTAAAAAATGTGTCATTAATATGTACACATATGTACTTAGGTTTTGATGAAAATTAATTGCATCATTTAAATTTTTAAGCTAGAAAGTCAAAAACTTGGTTGTTTCTGCTGGAAATATTTTAAACCATAAAATTTGAACACATGTTTGCAAACTTTAGGGGGGGGGGGAATTAAATAAAACACTTGGACCTTAAAAACTAAAGTAAATTGGAACTACAACTTACAATTATACCCAACTCAGACTATAAATATAATGCTGAGAATATAAAATATAAAGTGCTGAACCATAGCTTTCTTACCTTTTGCTGAGTGAAGCTGTTGGTAAAGTTAGCTGAGGTCAAAGCTCTAGGGTTCCTTCTCCACCTTCTCTTGTCTTCCCCAATTAGCCTCCATATTAAATACTGTTTTAACAAAAGTGTTATTTTATTAAATGATTATGTTATTTTAACAGTTTTTATCATTAGAAATTTTACATTTTATAAAATTTTAATTAATATATATCAATTATTTTTCAGTCTTAATTTTCCAAGTGTATCCATTAGAAAGCTTTTCGCAAATGGCGAAAGCTGGCCACCAGAAGCTCCGCCATATGATCACCGATTCTGCGGTCTTAGTTTATAAACAACGCTCGCCGGCGGCAGTTCGGAACCCTCGGAATCGGCGGTATATATATATAGCGAGACGAAGGCGGGGCAGCGTGCCGCTGGTCATATGTAATTGCTTATCACACCGAACTGTCCGAAATCGTTATGTTCTCGGTGCTCCTCCAGTGACAGCGACATCAACATCCATCCCTTTGGCCCCCCCGCGAACTGTCGGTTTACGTAAGCCCATTCAATTGTTCGTCGATTAAAATACGTTTTAGCTGAGAGAGCACATTAATCAAAATACACGTAATGCGGCTACTGGCGAGACACGCGATTCGGCTTTTGGGCCAGGAGAATGGACGAGGTGGAGCAGTAACAGCAATCCGGCTAAAGGCCACAACCGGTTCCTTAAAGCTGGCCACAGCAAGTGCTCCAGCGTTGGAGCAGCCGGCAAAACAGGTGCAGAGAATGGTGAGTCGCCATAAAACTTCCAAAGTTTCTATTTATTCAATCTCAAATTCTGCAGAACTCACCGCTAACGGATACGTTTGGCAGACACCACACCTACCTGAGGATCTCCCTCACCGAGCGCTGTAACCTGCGATGTGAGTATTCTAAGCAGAAACCTTCAAATCCTATCGCAACCGGCGAGCGCCATGTTTTTTTTATCCTTATCAGTATTATGTTTATATATTGTTATGCTTGATAATACTAGGTCTGAAGTGGATTGCCACCTTGATTGAATTTTGTGGCGAAATTCGTGTCTTACATATGGCACAGCAGGGGTGGAAATTATAGAAACGAAGCTATTGTAACTTATTTTTTGGGTTGTCTAATTAGTATAGATGTTCTAATTTGATTTCCGAGTTGTATTTAATCGAATACGACTTGTTTGATAGCTCAATTCAAGTGCTGTTTACAATTCAAAGCTGATAAATGATAAAGTACTCTTTTGATTACCAGAACATTCCATTCTTTCCCTATCTCTTCAGTAATAACATTTTGTCTGAATTATTATTTTGCTTTCATCAAAGTCAATTAAGTCCATTATCTTATTGTGACATTTCGGCTTGTAACAAAATAATAATAATAATAACCTCACCTTGAAAGCAGCTTTTAAACAGACTACGTTTCCGTCAATTAAATCTTATAATAAGCCAGCAGAAATTACCCATAAGCTTTAAATTCTTAAAAAATAATATTACTAAAACAAATTATAATTTCCAGGTGACTACTGCATGCCCGCCGAGGGAGTTCCCCTGCAGCCAAAGCAGAATCTCCTAACCACCGAGGAGATACTTCGCCTGGCACGCATATTCGTAGAGCAGGGAGTCCGCAAGATCCGTCTAACCGGAGGTGAACCCACAGTCAGGCGAGATATAGTTGAAATAGTGGCCCAGATGAAGGCTCTGCCGCAGCTGGAGCAGGTGGGTATAACTACCAATGCACTGGTACTCACTCGCCTGCTCCCTTCGCTCCAAAGAGCAGGATTAGATTCACTCAACATCAGCTTGGATACGCTGAAGAGGGATCGCTTTGAGAAGATAACACGGAGAAAGGGTTGGGAGCGGGTTATAGCTGGGATTGATTTGGCCGTTCAGCTGGGATACACTCCTAAGGTCAACTGTGTCCTGATGCGGGACTTCAATGAGGATGAGATCTGTGATTTTGTGGAGTTCACCAAGGATCGTCCTGTGGATGTGCGCTTTATTGAATACATGCCCTTCTCCGGCAACAAGTGGCACACGGAGAGGTTGATATCCTACAAAGATACCCTGCAGGCCATTCGGCAAAGGTGGCCAGACTTCGAGGCCCTGCCCAATGGACCCAACGACACATCCAAGGCTTACGCAGTACCCGGTTTTAAGGGTCAAGTGGGCTTCATCACCTCGATGACAGAACACTTTTGTGGAACTTGTAACAGACTTCGACTCACCGCAGATGGTAACATCAAGGTGTGTCTGTTTGGGAACAAGGAGTTCTCCTTGAGGGATGCCATGCGAAGAGATGACATATCCGAAGAGCAGTTGGTGGATTTCATCGGAGCGGCAGTGCAGCGCAAGAAGCGACAGCATGCAGGTGAGTCTGGATCCCGAATAAAGTATAGAACGTCTTCAGACCTTGGTCCCTTCTTCGCAGGCATGCTCAACCTGTCGCAGATGGAGAACCGGCCCATGATACTCATAGGCGGCTAGTAGACACACCACACTCTCCTCTCTCTCCCATTGCAGGTGCTGCCCCACTGCTCCATCATTATAGCCGCCACCTTCATCATCACCTCTATCATCATGCGTACCATCCATTAAGGCAACAGCTCCAGATCAGAAACTGCAGCAGCATAAGCAGCCATCTAACTCATGTCAACGCTCAGGGCAAGGCCCAAATGGTGGATGTGGGCGCCAAGCCATCAACCACAAGATTAGCTCGAGCCGAGGCCACTGTCCAGGTGGGCGAACGACTTACCCAACTCATAGCGGCCAACGAGATAGCCAAAGGAGATGTTCTGACGGTAGCCCAACTTGCTGGCATCATGGGAGCAAAACGCACTTCGGAACTCATTCCTCTGTGCCACAATATCAGCCTATCCTCGGTCAAAGTGCAGGCTACTCTTTTAAAAAGCGAGCAATCCGTCCGTCTGGAGGCATCGGTTCGCTGCTCTGGCCAAACTGGCGTTGAGATGGAGGCCCTGACCGCCGTCTCTGTGGCTGCCTTAACCGTGTACGATATGTGCAAGGCCGTTTCCCATGACATCTGCATCACCAACATCCGGCTGCTGAGCAAAACTGGTGGAAAAAGGGACTTCCAACGTGATGAAGCTGCTGAGCTGAAGGTCGAATAAGCAGATCTTCAATAAATCACAACACGTTCGTTCATTTCGTTATAGAAGTTGAAGGTTTCGGTTCTCTCTTTAATTTCGTGGCCAGAGTGGGTTAAGTTTAAATGAAAGGGTAAATGGCGGGTGCTTGTGTGAAGGTGCGTTTGGGGCGTGTCGTGAACTGCGCGCCTTAAGCTAGAATTACATACAACATTAGAAGTCGCCAATTATTGCTCGCAAATCCTGGCAGAGTTCCCTCTCAACATAGACACAATAAATACGGTTGCGGATGAGGTAGCGCCGTTGCCTAGGACACCAGCACATTGCGGTTCTCCGCCTTGCCCTCGGCATCCGCGCCCTTTCCTCCCTCGGTGCCCAGATGCTCGCCGCGAATCTTGATGTTGTGCTCCTCCTTAAATTTATTCAGCTCACTGCCTTTTTTGCTTAGATCCTCGGTAACCATTGTGATGGTCTTGGCTATAAAGTCCTTGTTCTCCACCAGCTGCGGCAGCACTTCCTTCACGGTCCGTTCGCACAGGACGCCGCCAATCTGACGGAAGCACTTGCGTTCCGGATCCGCCGCCTGCAGGGTTTCGATAACCGTTCTGCCAGGGAAAAATAGGTATTAGTTAAGGTTTTTTAACTATAAAGCTACCCCAGATGGTCCGTAATCCGTTTGCCCATCTTTGGTTGCCGGGTGACTCACTTGTGCTCGCGCAAATCCATCTCCAAGGTATTGAGGCTGTTCGCCAAGTTGCGCTGGTCATTCCGCAGCTGTTGGAACTGGGCCACAATTGCCTCTTGGCTGAGCCCCTGGCTGGCCGCCGCCTTCGCCGCTTCAGTGCTCATAGTGAATAAACTTAAACTCAAGTAGGGATTAACTAGTTAGTCGCTCCGAAAATGCGAAAATTAAGTTTTCTTTCAAAATAAGTCGGCGAACACGAGGGTAAAGGGGCAGTGTGGACGAGCTAAAGGGACCAAAGAAATACCAAATAGTATTAAATATACCAATAAGAATGCGTTCTAAGAGACTGGTCACATTCAATAATTTCGTATAGCAATTACGTTATTTCTTACGTTCTGGATTCTAAAACCTTTTTTAAGCTTTTTTTTTTGTTTTTAAAATTAATCTTATATTATAACTAAATTGTATTTTATTATTACTGATTATAAAGTACTTTTTTTTAGACAAATTTAATTAACTCTTAATTTCTGATTTGGTTTGACAATGTATACAAATTACATGTCTTCTATCCCTTTATTTTAAAATTCATGTAACTTTTTTAATACAATTTTAAATTCTTATTTTTTTATTTATATATTTTAAAACTCAAGCATTAGAAAGTAAATTGGCATTTATTTTTTATATTTTCCAATTTAAAAAATGAGTAACTTAAAACAGGGTATTTCCGTATTACTCTCTTATGCATCATTGTTTATATCTGAAGTTTTCCTTGCCTAAGAGCCTTTAATTGAATCAATTTAAAGATTTCTCAAGCCAGTCATCCCATGAGAAGTATCCCCATTCAGCCAGTGACTGTCGTCATCAATCAACAACGCTAGGCTTCGAGAGTCATGTAAGGGTAATCTCGAGTCTATATAAGGCGGCAAATGCGTCGCTCTGCTTATCAATTCAATTGAAAGCGCTCACTGTTATTAATAACAATCACCGTGCTTTATATTAACGCCCCTCCATAACCCAGTACAACCCTTCGGGAGATGAGTAATCCCACGGGAAGCTCCGATTGGAATGCAAACACAAGACACACTCCGCTATTTACGCTCATTAAAAACATATAAAATAATTTATTCTGCTTATTAATTTGTTTAATAAATATACAATATGTAAAACTGCGGGTTAGTCGCGCAGGTCCGCTCGAAAAAAAATGTATAAAAAAGGACCCAAGTCGTGTAACTTTAACGCTGTGTTAGAAAACAAACAACACAGAAGAGGCACACACCGAACACAGGACATTGACTTGGACTCGTTTTGGGTTAAGATTGCTCTGGCGAAGGCACAACATCGTTATCGTAATAATCGTTATCAGCGTGGCGATCGTTATTAGTCTAGAATTCCACTTCCATTAACACTTAAACACACAACGCTTTCGGTTAGGGTGGCTCGATTGAGTTGTTAAAAAGTCAAAAGATAATCCGTGGGACAAATTATAAGGTTTAACTGGTTTTCAGTTTCGAATTGGTTTCTTTTTTTTTTAAGTTATTAAAGCTCTGTTCTGGTCACCAAACATGAAAAATTAAAATTAATTACTTTTTAGATAAATGCCGACAGTTAGAAACTAAAAATAAATTTTTACTACAATTCTGTCAAGAAGTAGCTTTCAATTAAAGTTATTTCGTTTTTTTCGGTAAGCCAGAACAGATATATGACCTACATTTTTGGACAGTGACGAAACCCTTTAGTTTTTCAAGGCAAAATGGTTTAGCAGATTATCTAACGATCCATAAATCAAGCCACCCTTCTCTAGGTAAATATATATAGATAAAAGTGTAGAACATGCGACGAGGTTTGTGCTTGGCACTCGTAAAACTCCACTCCTCCCTCGACTTGGACTTCTTTACGACCAGCCGCCCGTCAGCTTGTGGAACATCTCCTCGTTCAGCATCTGGTTGTTCTCCTTGGATCGCATGGACATGAAGATGTAGCCGCCGATGAACTCGTGAACCACCTTGCAGTCGGCGGATTGGCAGGAGAATACGACGTTCTCGTCCTGCAGCTGGATCATCATGCACTTGATGCCCCAGTTTACATTCCAGGCCTTCATTGTGTTGTAGCGCCAGGTCTTGATGTGATCCCCAGTGCTCAGGTCCATGCGCATGATCCTGTTGTTGGCTACACCCAGCAGCTCCTCCTTCTTGTGGCCGTCGAACTTGATGACGAAGAGGGTGACACCGAAGTCGGGCAGGGATTGCCAGGCCTGAATGTATTTCAGCTTGGCCTCCATCAAGGGCAGCTGACGGACATTGGCATGGGCCTCCAGGATCCGCTGCACGGCCTTGCTGGAGAGTTTGCGCATCATCTTCTGGGAAAGGTAATCCATGGGCTCCACACTTCTGGGATTGATAGTAAGCGGAGCTCCTTGGGCTGGCTTCTGCATCTGGAGGAGGGAGCGAATGCTGCTCACTTCGCTGTCGTAGGAGCTGTCGGCTAGGGAGCGTCCCTTGGCTGCCAGACGGCAGGCAGCCATCCATTTGGCGTACTGCTCCTCGTTCTCACATCTCACCCAGACTTCGCTGTTCGGTCCACTCCTGCCCTCTGGGGGTACTTCCAAGCGGATGGCAAACTTTCCTTGGGCCAGGTGAACGTCGGGCGTCACCTCGCAACCCCTCAAATTGATGCTGATGGTGGGGGCGCCCCGCCGAGACTCCTCCTGCGACTTGTACAGGTGCAGATGCAGATCCCTGTAGGTGAAGAAGTAGCGCTTGTATCCCTTAAGGGTGAACCTCTGCGGCTTCAAGAATCTCAGGTAGTCCGAGAGCTCTGGTATCCTGGTGATGTTGCCCTGATCCTTGCCACCTCCTGGACCCTCCAGCGTGATCTGCAGCTCGTTGAGAGCGGAGTCAATATCGTCGTCGCCGCCATTCTCCTGACTGGATGAATCAATTCCAGAATCGATGCCCGGTGGGTGCAGGTCCGTTTGGTGGTTCACCTGAAACTGCAGGGCGGCGAACATAAGGGTCTCCTCCTCGGTGGCATCCAGCTCCTCGTTCAAGATGCTCCATTTGGCCTGCTCGTACAGTTGATTGATTCTCACTTGGTCGTATTTCGGGTTCAAGTCGAAGAAAGTGAAGTACTTGAAGCGAAGACAGAGGGTATCGTACTCCCTCACTCCCTGTTCCATGATAGAGAGCGAGGAGTCCAGCCAGCCTACGTTGAGACGTGCCTTTTCTACCAGCGTCTTTGGTCGGACCAAACGGGCTCTGACATCCGGGCTAGGGGACCTTGGCGACACTGCCAGGTTCTCCTGGAAGTCGCCAAAACTAGAGTTTGAATCGTAGCTGGCATATCCAGTGGAGTTGTGCTTCCAGGTGCCCGTGGGCGAGCTGATGGGAGTGCCCGGAGCAGTGGCTGCTCTCCTTGGAGTCGTGGCGTACGGTGAAGCTGGCGCACACAGCAGATTTCCATTGTGCGAACGGTCCAAGCTGCCATTGCTACCATTGTATGCTCCTGTGATCGGGACAAAGGAGTTGGTATCGGGCGCTGGCTGCAAGTAGGAGATGCCATTTGCCTCTGCCACCGGAATTTTGCGCTGTGGCAGTTTGGAGAAGTTTTTCTTCAGATGTTCCGGCTCCAGGGGCTTGCTGAACGACAATTCCTCGGGATAGCGGATGTCCAGATCCTTGCACAGGCTCACAACGGCTCCAAAGGTCTTGGCTGAGAAGTTGACGCGGTAGTCCAGATACCGAAGATCGGGCAGCTGCACCCGCAGCGTCTTGTGCATGGGCGTAAAGTGCAAAAAGGAGTCCGATTGGACGCCAGCCTGGTCCAAAGTCGAGCGCGTCCTGGTCAGCCAGACGTTCTTTGCGGGCCACCAAAGTGCATGATCTGACCAATCTTTGGGCATCTCCGGGTCCACTAGCTGCAGCATCACGCCGCCAATGTGCTGGTCGCCCTTCACGCGGAGCGTCTTTTCCACCTGCAGATCGGTGATGAGGATCCGCAGGTTCCACGTACTCTCGCCTACATGAATCATCTCGGATGCGGGGGCGCCTGTTGTTGTCGTTGACCAGTCGTCAGTTCAGAACCAAAACTATAACTGAGTCTATATATATGGCGCAATCAGAGTCTAAAATTGCCCTCGAACGATGACGTAATCCAACTTACGTTCAGCGCGGTTTTTGCAACGAAAGCGTTTGCTGGGACCGAGGGAGGGGGACTGGGGGGGCTGAGAGGGGCGCCCTTATCTCGCCAGATGTTATGTTTGCTTCGGAAACGGCAGCGCAACCAGCGGAAAGCAGGCCAGAAGCGGAATGGTGCTGGTAATTCCAATCAAAAATCGGCTACGACGACACCTCCACTTGGGACACGGGAGGAGGGGCGGACGCGGTGCGGATAGGAAGGAGGGGCGACGCGGAGAGCGGATCGCGGTTCGCGGATAGGAACGCTCAATTAATACACACGCCCAAGGTTGCGATGAGATGTGTTTTGTTTGGCACTCTCGCAGCGCTTCTGATCTCGTTCACTGTTCTGGCGTCGCTGCGGTGCGTTGTTTTCCTCGCACAGAGACGACCGACCAATACTATTGCACGCGCTGAAAGATGCGATGCAAATTTTCACGAAAACAACACGTCGCGGGCGGGCGCACAAGCTACAGATAGAGAGAAATTAATTTATAAATAAATCAGTCACGTCCAGTTGTGTCAGTGTGGCCATTCCGCACTACGTCAAAGTTACTAAAAATCATACCAAAATAACTAGCGGCGGTATTTTTATTGAACATGTTAGTGAAACTGCTAGCATAAAAAAGCTGCTTTGCACAGGTATAATTTTAATATATTTAATTATTAAATGGTTTTGGTTGGATATGGATCTTTGGTTACGTTCATTTAGATATTTTATGGTTGTATTACGAACACATTTAAATAACAATTTATTTTTTTAAGCATTGTAGCAACTACAATTTTTGCAAATGTATTTATAGGTTTTCATGGTAAAATCTTGAGATTTTATTACTTTTTTGTGTAAATAATTAATTAACTAACTAAAATATAAGTTTTCCCCGTCTAAATAGAAATATAGCTTAGAAAAATAAAGGCTTCACAATTGTTTATTAAAACAGCTATCATTTTATATTAACTTTCAAGTAAGTTTTTAATTTTATGTTAAAATTTATAACTAATTTGAAGTAATTGAAAATTCTGTACCCTTTGCAAATATAAAAATATATCTTGAATTGGAGTTCAAAATGAACTTAATGAACAATCCATTTGACTTGCTTACAAGCTGTCATATCTAAATATCTCAGTTAGTATCCAGTTTTTAAGAGAAAGATAATTACATATAGATATTGATGTATTTTAATTAAAAGTAATAAATATCAGGCAAAATTACTTAATTACGGCCCACAAATACCAGAGAGAAACTGGTTTCTCCGCCTGCAATTTCTAGCGCCTTCTGTTGATCTCGCTGTAGTGTTCCTAGATCAGGGATTTTTTCTTATGAATTTGATGTTTTAATTAATTTTTCCCGGCAATTTTTTTTTAATCCTACATTTACAATTACTTTACGTTCACTACGAAATATAACTTATATTACATTTTTCTAATTAACAGATTTTTGTGTGGAATATCGATTGTTCGGGATTTTTTTTAGGAACAAACCCAAAAACCTCGTCTGGCAACACTGCTGTCTTCTCTTCGCTTCACACCGCATTCGTAAACAAAGACAATGAAAGCTCCCCGAAGTTTTTCGAGCCAGATAGTTTTTCGCCGTCGAGTCGAGCGCACGAACCAAAAGACGCTAAACAAAAGTAAAAACTAATAGTGCTTAAAGTGTATTGTGTAAAACACGCCGCGTCTCTGCGCTGTCTCGCTCTGGCACACTCGCAAATACCGACACAGGCACACACACACGCGGCAATATACATACCTGTCTGAGAGCAAACGAAAACGGTGCAAAGAAAATCGGGAAAATAGGCTCTGAAAATTCACTCGAATTTCGAAACGCAGATTAAACAACTCTCGGTCTTTGCTCGGGAAATAATGTGTTAAACTTTGTGAAAATAAAAGGGCCTGAAAAATTAAGCTGCAGCTTAAAACGCTGAAGAGGAAACATCTGGGCGCGAAAAAATCGATTCAGGGCGATGTAATATTGCCAAATTTACGGTACCTCGTTGCAATCAACAATTTTGACAGCAACAAAAACTAGGCGGACAGGGAGAAGCGCCAGATTAGGATAGAGTGCGACGGAGATAGGTAGCTAGCGGCGAATTACGCGTGATAGTAAAAATATAAATAAAAGCGAGAAGCGCAACAACCCGCGCTTAGTCATCCGTGTGAGATAAAGAGATAAAACTGCAAGCCTGGTGCCTGGTATCTGGCAGATACAAAATAAATCTGGAAAACCCCCCAGCAGAGCAAAAGGAACTCGTCAAATCGTAAACGTAATTACAACATTTGCAGCAGCAGCAGCGACGGTGGCGGTGGAAGCAACAATAACAACAACAACAACAATAATACGGCAACGCCTACGACACGCCAGTGATTACAATAACAAAAAGATTTGAGCTTTTGTTGTAGCTTGTTGCCTTTGAATTTGGTTGCTCACCTCCATCGGCATCTGAAATTGGGCATTCACATAAGCGGCTTAAATACGCGGTTAACCAAACGGCGGCCGTATAGAGCTGGAATCTGCAAGTGGCACACCTGTTTGGCCACGGGTCATAGTGGAGAGTGAAGAGTGGAGAGTTGGCTAGTTGGGTAGTGGAGAGCTGAAAGCCAATTGGAGCACGAGCACCATCATTGCAATCACATCTCGCCATGTCTCGTCTCACCGAGGAAATGGTTATTGCGCGGGCCAAGCAGTCCGATCTTGGCCTGATCAAAAAGCTTAATTGCTGGTAAGTACGGCGAATATTGCTTTAATGTTTAAATGATATAAAACAATATACAAACTTACATTTGAATTTAGCCCTTAAAGTCTTGTTCACATTGAAAATTAAAGTGAAGGAGTTATTTCCGACCCCATAAAGCATATATATTCTTGATCAGCGTCAAACGCCCAATCGATCTAGGCATGTCTAGAAAAGAAATAACATTTTCAAAGTTTTGTTAAAATTTAAAATTTTCTTCATCATTCTTTTTTCAAAAATCGGCAAAAAATTTAATTTTTTAAATTTAAAAACTGAGTATCCAGATTTGTTAATCTAGTCAAAACTAGCATTGAGTAGCTTTCCAAATTAAAATTAATGAGTTTTTGGCTTAGTTATCAGATTTGTAAGCTATGATTTTTTGAAAAAATTGTCTGTTTTTATACCTTTTTGCAAGGTTTTTTTATTGTAGTCAAAAACTTTTAATTGCATCAACAAACGTGGTATGCAGATTTGTTAGTGCTTTAAAAACTCGCACAGAACAGCTTTCCGAATCAAAATTAATGCTATTTTGGCTTAATTATGATGTTTGGAATAGATTGATTTTTAAATGAAATTGTCTGTTTTTATACCATTTTTGCAGAATATAATTTCAGTCAGAAGATTGAAACACAGTGAAGGAATCATTTCCGACCATATAAATCATATATATTATTGATCAGAATCAATACGCAAATCTTATTAGGCATGTCTAGAAGAAAAATAAAATTGTAAAAATTTGTGAGCTTAAAAAATCGTTAAAAACTATGTATATACAAGTTTTACCAGTGTGCATGAAATCGATTTTCGATCTAATTTCCGCCTGTGCATTGATCTATTGCTAATCGTGCCGAGGCAGGTGCAGCCGCAGTGAAAGCTCCAATCTGTTGGGTATAGTATTGGGTATGGAGTATGGGGTATGGGGTATGGGGTCTGGGGGATCTGCCCACTTTGCTGCTCAACCCGGCTGCTACGGTTGCTCCGGCTGCTGGCTTTCACTCGAGTGCCGGCCATGGTTCCCCAGTGTGACCCAAATCCGGGGGCAATCTTCTAACCAGTTTAGAAGTGTCCACTTTGGGAGCAAGTCACGATTCCCTGGGCTGGAAAACTCGCGGCACTCCAAGAGAAGGAAGCCGGCATTCGGAAAAGCGTGAAAAGCAGTTGAGCTACTTTCCGGAATGCCTCCAGCCTCTTGACCCGTCTTAGATTAAAGCGGGCGATGCCTTAAAAGGGGCCTCCACGCCACACTTATCTCCATTATAATGCCATCAAATGTCTAACGTGTTCTATCTGTTTATTTCAGGGGAAGTGATCTCAGCGATGTGTCCATCATCAAGCGAATGCGTGGAGTGGAAGTTCTAGCTCTGAGGTAAGTCGGAGGAATGCGTCTCATATAAGGATCATCTCTCTCTCGATTAATGTTTTTATTTTTTCTCAATCCGACTTGGAGAATCCCCACCGAGAATGAGGGGGAAAGAGGTTATATATCGCCGAGATATATGTGTTTGCTTTCCAGTGATGTCATCGCCCCATCATTAGGCAAGCAGAAATACGAGAAATACTTTGGCACGCTCAAGCGCGTAATTAATGCAAAAAGCTGTGGCAAAAGCTACACAAACTACAGAAAAATAAGTTGAAAGTCGTGGGAGCTCCGAAATTGGCAATACCAACTGGAACCCAGTCGCACTCATTTTGTAGGCCGCGTAGGCCCAAAGCGTAGGTCGCACCAGATACTCTGACTATGAGTCGTATCTGCCAGATACGTACAGACGTATCTGTGTCTGCGCTTGTACTTTATCTTGTGCTTGTACTGGTAACTTGTACTTGTTGTACTTGCATGTTGCTGGGTCTGCTTCTGCTTCTGCTTCAGCTGCTGCTGCTTCTGTTGCCTTAAAAGGCGACAATCATTTTGACTGCCAAGGTCACCAAAATCGATTCGTCCGCCAAACTTCTCCGTCATCTGCTGGCAATATGCTGAAAACTCTCGGCTGCCTCACGACATACGTTTGTATAATTATGCACAAGAGGAGGTGTACCCCCGAGCTGGTGGCCTTATAGGGAGCCAGCTTGGAGCGATTGGCATTGAACTTGGGGATGAGAAGCGTGAGAACAGCAGGAAATAATATTTTAGGTATGAAAGTATCTAACAGATGATACTTAAAAAAAATTAGCTCAGTTTGACATAAACTATATTTGGCGAAAATGGAGCAAGGGAAGTAATTAAGTAATCAAAATTTCATTAAAATCTGTTTGTATATTTGGAAATAGTAATGATAATAATATAAAAGGGCCTGCCATAATGTTTCTGTAAGATTAAAGATTTAGCAACCAATATATAAAGGGAACTAGATCAGTTTATGAATTAATTTTATATTTTTAATTGAGCAAATGTACTAGAAATTATTATTTTTATTATTATAGAATTAAATTCTGAAAGAGTTTGCCTTCAGTAAAACTTTGAACAGGAGTTAAGTGATATTACTATATGGTACTGGTACACCCAACCAAATCAGATCAGGCAGCTAAGAACAGGAAATAATTAAATATCAAAAGCAGATATTCCATTAACAAATAATCTGATCAAACAAAAAAATGTATGTATATAAATGAAATGAGCAAATATTTACTGATCTTAATTGAAAGCAAAAGTATGCCTTTTTTGGAAACTTGATTTTGACGCCTGATTGTTTGCATTCCCACAAAGTGACTCAGATGAAATATTGTCTGACTGAGGTCTAAACGGGTTTTTAAATTAAATTTAAAGATAGTTTTGTGATATTTTTTAATTTTTGTTAGCTTGCTAAGCTCTTTTCAAGAGTACTTTAGATGTACTTAAAACAACGAATGCCTTTGTGTAGAAACCAAGATTTATTAATCAATTGCACTGACAAATTAGAGACTAAAATAGCTCAGAACCGTCAGTCTTTTCTATTAACAGATATATTGCTATATTGCTCTCAATTCCATTGTTATCAGTCTTTCCCAACTGCTCCCCCTGGAGCTTTATCAGTCTATAGATAATGCTACACGTTTCCTATATACAAGCGTGAATGAACCAATTGATATGGCAAACATGTAAACTCGAGGGCAATAACTTCTCAACTTCTCGGACCCATTGACGACGACTATCAAAGAGGGCTGCTCTGTTTGCATTATTTTACTGAGCTTAATATCAAAAACAACGAAAACCTTTCTGTCTCAACTCGTTGGGCAGGCGGTTCCCCGTGTCTGCTGGGGCGGTACCTATGTACGTGGGGTTCTCCGAGGGTCTCCTCCGCCCTTTTGTTTGCCATTTGTTGTGCTAGGCCAGGAGTGGAATAGTCCATAAATCAGGGGTTCAGGTAAAATGCGTTGGTGTAGTCTTCCATTAGGTTGTGTTTATTTCTTACCCATACTCATTATAGTTCACTGTTCCCTGGTTTCCTGCGTTATGAGTGTGCATATTGATTTGGGTTGCGTGTCGCTGGCACTTTTCTTTTCTTTCCACAGAACTATCAATGGTTTTTCCACTTAGTGCCACTCGAGTGCTATTCAACCTTGACTTTAGCTTGGAACTTTGATTATGCATATCTGAATAGGGGGGAGCTCTACTCCCAATTGGCCTGATTTTATGCCAAACTATTAATAGGGTTAGCGGAGCTACGAATTCCAGATACCAGACACTCACTGAGGCAATGCACTCGTGTGCCATTTAGGCGATGTTTCTGGCTAAGTTTAGACAGTTGTTTCGGATGTACTCTCTCTTCAGAGAAGAAGAAACTGTTTCTGATAGCTACACAGAGGGAAAATCTTATAGAAAATCCCTAGGGTTTAAAGGGAAATTGGGTTATGGGATATAGTAATTCAATTTCTTGTATTTTAACTTGTTTTGATTAGCTCTGTCACATTATACTTATGTTTTCCAAGCTTATACCCACATTATCCAGTCAATATCTAACCACTGTTTCTCTTGAGTGTAGCTTGTACATATCGCAGCTTATTTATTCTATCAGTTAGGCCATTAAGGCACGCTTTTGGCCATCGGCAATTGGCCACTTCAGGGTAATTAGCATTGTTAGAGAGACCGAGGTGCTAAGCGGGGATTCGCTCGCAACGCGAACCTGACCTAGACGCAGACAAATGACGACAATCAGCTTTTCCTCCCCGTCGGAACCATCAGCCTCTTTAACTGTTGTTTTGTGGGGAATTCTGTGAAGAATCCGTCGAGTTAATGACCGCACGCAGCTGCCAGAGAGAATCTTTTGTGTTGTGTGTGCCAAGCATGATTCACGGCAGTTAGTTAATGGTGGTGATGATGGTGGCGCCTTTGTCGCCGCTCCAAGAGAAAGTTTCTTGAACCTAAAAGTCGGGTTTTCTTTTGGTTCCATTGCAGCGTGAACAAGATCAGTACGCTTTCCCCTTCGAAGAGTGCCAGAAGCTGCAGGAGTTATATCTGCGCAAGAACAACATCTCGGACATCAATGAGATTGCCTACCTGCAGAATTTGCCAGCTCTGCGCTACCTCTGGCTGGAGGAGAATCCCTGCTGCGAGCGAACCGCCAAGTAAGTGTCATCCAATAAGAAATGTATGTGTATACAAGAAGCCCCTAATGATCTATATCAACTCTGTATAACCGCAATCACAGCTATCGCGCGGTTGTCTTACGCGCCCTGCCCAACCTCAAGAAGCTGGACAATGTGGAGGTCACCCAAGAGGAGGTGGACGAAGCCTTGCGTGGCAGCGGTGGCCCCGTGGTCGATGATGAGGTTTACGAGGACGCCTACCAACAACAGCAGCAACAGCAGCAGCAGCACCAGCAGTCGCAGCCGCAACAGATGCCGCAACATCAGCAGCAGCACAGCTACCCGCAACACTCTCCGCCAACGCAGCAGCAACAGTATCAGCAGCAGCATCAACCGCAGCAGCAGCCACAGCAATCGCAGCAGCAGCGTCGCAGCTCCAGTCCCATGAAAGAGGTAAATGGTTTCCATTGTCTGGGTGGATATTTCTCACACCACGCCCTGGTTTAGCGGCTCTAATCTTTCGACTCCGCCACGAATTCAGTAATCAACGCTCACCTCCCCTCTTGTATCTGTCTATTTCTGCTACCTCTGAACCCTATCCCGCTCCCTTAACCCATGTTCCCATTAATATTAAAATATGCATTGCTAACCAGCCGCCACCGCAGTTAGCCAGTCCGCTGGCCAACAACAGCAGCGAAGGGACCATCACCCATAGTGCCAGCGATCTCTACGGCAGCCAGATGCAGCAGGCACAGCCGCTGCATGGCTCCAAGCCCCCCACACCCACCAAGGTAAGGGGAGAGGTCGGTCAGTCAGCCGGGGAGGGAGATGGGGAAAAGGTTTAGAGAAAGTAACTAGTCTGTGGCACTTGTAGTTCTGTTTCTATGTTTTTGTGTTATAATGTTTATGTAAACAGTTTGTAAAAGTAAAATTTGATACTTTTGTAGGAGTATAATGCTATATCAGTTTCTTAAACGTATAATTAACTCACTTTCGGTTAGCTTACGTTTTATTTTATAAAGTTTATTATGTTCTTGCCTTTCATGTATACTTTTTGTTACGTTTAATTTTTCCGATTGAAAGTAATTTATCTAGAGAGTTCCCATCCATCCATCATTTTCATCATTTATTCTCTCTCAATGCATAATCTCGTAAGATCAGCTAAGAGCCCTACTAATCTCGTTTCGGCATCCCCTCCAGGAACCCGCGCATCCGCCATCGCCCATGTATAACAATATAACCAAAGAGCAGCGCACCCACCACCAGTACGACGTAAGATCCACAGTCACTGCCCCCCGATGAGTAGTAGTAACACAGTCAACCAGTTCCGAGCATCCGACATGACAGAACCGAGCTTCTTTTATTTTTTTTGTTGCTGCCGGGCCCACTTTTGGGGGCCCTATTCCGAGGCCCTACTATTTTTCTTTTTTTTTTTCGAGGGTGTGGGCCCGTGTCACACTCGAGTGGAGAGAGAGAGGAACGGGGACTTGGTTGGGGGCAGTCACGCGATGGCTTCGATGGCATGGTTAAGGTTCTCTTACTCATGTTCCCGCCGCCTGGCCATTGTCTATTTGCCGGCGTTTTTTGGGTTAAGTCCCTCGCTTGACTTTGGAGTCTAGTACTGGGGTCTGATGGGAACTAACGAGGGACGCACAATAATTGCTAAAGAAGATCGAAAATGAAGTATATATAAAAGGGGTCATTATGTATGCTTTTAGGCAGGGAAAATGGTTAGAAGAAAATGGAAATTGTATTGAAAAGGGATCAATATAATCAAACAAACACTCCAAAAACCACTGAAATTGCTCCCTCACTCTCGTAGTTACTAGCTCAACGTTTTGTCGAGATTGCTCGGGTGACTGATATATAATTTCAAATTAAATCTAACATCTATAATCTCTGCTGCCTCTCTCACCATGCACCGCAACCTTAAACCAAATCAAAACCCCAACTAAAAACGCAAACTGCACTGCATCCCACTAACTTCAACACGGGGTCTCGATGAGCAGCGCTCGCCGGGTTCCGACCAGGAGAGTAGCCCGCAAACGGGTTACAGGGAGGTGCGGCCCACGCCGCTCCCTCCCAGCATCTCCACGCACTCGATGAAGGTAAGAACGATGGTTCTTCTCACTGAGGACTACCAGCTGGGACTTGGGACAGTCAAGATGGAGAAGCTATCTAATAATGGTGTTCCCGCACAGGAATACTATCAGTCGGATCGTCCGGCTGGCTATCCAGCACACTATCGCCACAGCCAGACAGACCTCACCGAATGGGAGGAGCACCAGCAGGCGCCACAGGTGCATCACAATCCCTACGGCAGCCAAATGCAGTTACACCACCAGCGGCGCAGCGATCCCAACTTCCGTAATGGCAGCGCTCGGGAAAATGGCGGCGAGTGGGAGCAGGAGGAGAGACCCAGGTCGAGGTGAGTGGAGGTCAAACCGCGAGGTCATCGGGTGAACATTATTAGCATAGAAGCTTAACGTTTGTTGTCGCTTATTGAATTTGTGGGTAAACATTGTGGTATCTCTGTGATGTTCGTTTGCATATTGTGTTTGCATTTAAAATGTTTACCTTGTTGTTGAAATATTATCGGTAAATAAGCATTAAGAACTATAAAAACACTTTTAAAGTAATTACAATTAAATAAAATATTCAATTCACATTCTTATCTGAGTATAAAAAGGTTTTAAACCGTTTTCTATAATCAATGTGTGTTCAGCCGGTTTATTATCCTAATAAATCAGTAACGAAACGATTTGTTTAAGCTGCTAATTGTAGAATATTTGGTTTTTTAAAGCTGTTGTTATAACTATTACTTATTATTTTCAATAACATTTTTCAGGCGCCCCGAGGGTCGTTTCAGTGACTCGACGACAACTCTTTCGGCCTCCGTGATGAATCACTACGCGGGCTACCATCGCAGGCCAGTCAATAGGGTGAGTATTATCCAGAAATGGAACCCACTCATCATCGATAAGGTTGAATGCTAACTGATTCATATTCTCATCCTATATTCCGTAGACATCGAATCTGCTGTCTGCTGCGCTGTGTTTGGTTAAGGAGCTGGACTACGCCAGCCTGGAGGTGCTGGAGCACGCCGTGCGGTGTCGCATCGATGAGATGGCGGGCGAATGATGAAGACGACTCTCTAATCGCATGTCGATTAGCTAATATCCACACTAAACAAAAACAAAAAAAGACCAGGAGAAAGACAGAGGCGAGGAGTGAGGAGTGAAGCGAAAACTGCAGCTGATATTATTATACTAACGTCTTAAGCAACAAATGGAAAATCAGATACTTAACGGATAACGAAAACGATTCATACTTGCCAATTTGTAAACTGTCATAGTGTAACTAGCGTCTTTTTGTAAGCATTTTGTCACGTAACTAAATATGCTGACGGAATCGAAAGAGCGTAGGAAGGTTGAATAGTGGACTATAGCCTAAGTTAATTTCCGCCTGAATGATCCCAGATCCTGTTCAGTTGTGCACAGACCACTAAAAACTAGCCTTTTTTGTACTTAACTTGCGAGGATTTAACTAACTAACGAACTAACGGCGCCCAAGGCGCCAGGCACAATGAATCTTCCTTGTCTGTTTTTTTTATTCAAGTGAGCTTAGTTCAAATTGATATATGATTATATAATTATATAATAAAATTCAAATTCAGCATGGCTCATTGCTGTTAACTTTAATTTTAATATATATTTATATATGTATAAATTTAACCCAATGACTTTGTTAAATATTTGTACACAAGCTAAATAATAATTTTAATATAAATTTACCTATGTATAATAATGCAATTGAACACGTCCAGTTTATGTTTGCCGTTCTCTATTTAACGTTTACGTTGGAAACTACTATGCAAAAAATAAACCAATTAACATTTATTAAGAGTTTAAATGGGAATTTAGTGGAATTGTGAATATAATATTAACAAATTTCAAAGTGCGCGGGTTGCTGTGCTGTTCAACACTAGAGGATATTGATTTTCGAGAGAGTTATCGAAACTGAAAGTAAAGCAGTTTATTCGGCAGCAAGCAGTTCATATGAAAATATAAATAAAATATATAATAAATATAAGCTAAATAAATTAAATTATATTGAAAATACGTTATTTAATTGATTGTTGATTTTTATATTTATCAAAGAAATACAAAAGTTCGAAGTTCTTTCAGCTATACCTTTTATATTTACAGTTTTATATTCACTGTTTGCATTTTCCTATATTTTTAACGATCGTTTGTATGGCAGCTAAATGATAATGTAGTCCGATTTTTATAAGATTTTACACAAAATTATAGATATAATGGCTATATATTAAATTTAATGAAAATCTGTTGAGAACTGGAAAAGTTATAATAGTTTTTCTAAAAATTCCCTATCATTCCTATGGCAGTTTTACATATACATATATATGTATATATAGTCCACCGATTCGTCATTCTCCGACTTATATATCAGTAAAATTATATACAAGAATAACTCCATAGATCATTGAAATATATTAAATTTGTTCCAAACCAAATCTCGCACAACTGTGCATATGATTCCCAACAAGTTCTAACATCCCCGGAACGAAGTGAGTGCTGCCGGCCAAGTTTCAGAAATGTGTTGTGTTACAAAAGTTGCAAGTCATTGTTTATTGTTCAAGTGTTCAAAGTTAGTAAGTGAACATACATACTTACTGATCAGAGTTACTTACTGGTCATAGATACTTACTGTTTAGAGTTACTTACTGCTCAGAGTTGCTTAGTGTTCATTGATACTTACTGATCAGAGTTACTTACTGATTAAAGTTACTTGCTGATTAAAGTTAAATTAAATATCAGCTCGCTGCTCCTCTCTGCCTCTCCCCCTCTCACTCTATGTTAATCTTTCTATGTGAATCTCTAGAGGCCACTCCTACTCTCCCACCCACTCACACTCACTTTCTCTGCTCTTCTCTGCTCTGCTCTTCTCTGCTCTGCTCTGCTCTGCTCTGCTGCTCTCTGCTCTGCTCGCGGACTATAAATAGAGGCGCTGAGGGCCCGCGCGCCTCAGTCTGTCCTAGGGGTACCTAGTGTTAACATCTCAAGTGATAGTGCAAGTGATCATCCTTCGACCCAAAAATATGACGTGGCCAATGCAATACATCTGGATGACTAGGAAGAAGCTCACTTTAGATGGAATCAGCATTCTTGGTCACAACACTGGAAGGAAGTAAACAATGACGTGTCCTCTACTGCGGTAAGTCTTAATCATGACATTTATATTGGTGGGATCAATTCGCACTTCCCAATTTATTTCCTTATTGCCATGGCCACCTTTACATACTTACTGGTCACAGATACTTACTGATCAGAGTTAATTACTGCTCATAGTTACTTACTGATCTAAGGTATTTTTTGATCATAGTTGCTTAATGTTCATTGATACAGACTGATCATAGATAATTACTGTTCAGAGTAACTTAGTGTTCATTGGTACTTATGCACTAATCAGAGTTACTTATTGGTCATAGTTACTTATTGTTCATGGCTACTCACTGATCATAGTTAATTACTGGTCATAGATACTTACTATTCAGTTACTTAATTGATACTTAATGATCAGAGTTACATACTGATCATAGTTACTTACTGGTCATAGATACTTACTGATCCTCTACATTTACCAACCGTTTCTCTGGGAGTTATATTATATAGTATTTCGATTTTCATAAAACTAAGAACGCAATTATATAATAATAAAATATAGCTTTAAATCAAATTAGATAAAAATATGTTAACAACTGTAAAAGTTAATTGTTTTTTCTAAAAATTGTCCGATCGTTCCTATGGCAATATATACTTTATATGGTGGGAGTTAAATCCTTTACTGCATTGCAAACTGAATGAAGTTAAAATATCCTGCAAGGGTATAAATATCGATTCAAAGAATGCGAATATTCTAAACTTAGTTATGATCATTAAACGAATAGATCCTTTAATTTAATTGCAAACTGCAGGAGCTTTCTTTTCTTGTGTTATAGTTTTAGATAAATAATTTAGCTTTAATAAACTCACTTTATAAGTTGATATTCCATTCTGTTGTCCCAAAATAAAACACATATTTTTCAGAGGGGCTTTACACAACATTTAACGTATAATAGATATATTTTTCCTTTAGTTTTGCTTGCTTAGTTGATTTTTCTTTTATTTTGTTCGGTTACATTGTGTGAAATTGCCTTTAAATCTATTTTATTTTGAGTTTATTTTTTTTGTTGTTGTTTGAACTAAAATCGAAACTTTCGAAACGGTATCATCGGTTGGTTTTACACTCTGATAATAATTCGTAATTGATGATGATGTGTCTGTTGGTTATTTTGATATTATTCCAGCATAATTCGGTTAGTTAGCCGCTGTATTCATGGCAGAAACGCAACGCCTAACACATATACATATACATAAATGTAAAGTGCATTATAATGTTTAGTTAGTGTATTACTGAGTGTGATTAACTTGCTACACATCGATTACATACTGAAGCCGCATTAGGTTATCAATGAATGTGCTCTGAAAATTGCCTTAAACATTGCGATATTGTCTAATATAACGTTGGTGCAATACAATATATATATTCATATAATATATCATATATTGTTGATAAGTGCGCGGTTAATAATATTAATACATATTAGTTCTGATATATAGACACTGAGTATGCGAACTTCCTTGCCTGCTGTTCTCCTCCTTAGTTTTGTTAATTATTGTCAGTCACAGCGTGACTTTATAGATCTTCGGGTTCGAATTCGAAAATGCTATTATTGTTATTATTTATCATTACATATTATTTCGCTTAAAACTAAATGATATTATGTTTTGGCCGATGACCAGGCCGTGCTGAAGTGACGCATGTCTTCCAGAATGCGTCAGCGATGTTGCTGCTGTCTTGCTTGAAAAGTCTTCCATTTTTTTTCAATGCAATGCGAAAAAATGTCTTCCTAACAAATAATTGTTATATTGAATTGTTATTATGCTGAACAATATGACACCTAGATATTAAGATAACTTTAGTTACGATTTAGTTTGTAAACGGCAGACCTGGTACATATCCATGTCTTCCGTCTCTGAGTTTCTGATTTGCAATCGCAACTCATCTGTGTGGATATATAGACCAATTAGATATTACATTTATATTGTATATTATCGTTTTGTGTTTTGTATATATTTTGTTATATTTATATTTGTATTTATATGGTTTAAGGGCCGTAACCAACACTAAACTCTTGGTTGGCTCGTGGCCTAATTGCGACACTCGTAATTGATGCTGATTTAAATATCTCAACGCGTTTGATTCGCCAATAACTTGTAAGCCAAAACAAAGGAAATTCTTTGGATACCAACTTTTACTTCTTCTTCTGCTGCCTCGTCGTGGTAAATTGATATGCTGATTCCATCGAACCAAGGGATATAATCCAAAAATCAGGGGATGTGAGTTGTTGTTGTGGTTTTTGTGGCTAGTTAATGCCACGATATGTTGTGTACTTTGATATTGAATTGGTTGTTGATTTTCCTCATCCATCGTGTGTCTCCTTAGTCAAAAACTCCTCTCGACTAATCAATCACTTAATTACGGGTTGTGTCCTCATGGGCATTGAAGGATCCAAGGATCCTCGTCCACCCAAGGGAGCACTGGAAGCCCTGCGTGATTCTGCTGTTGTGGAGGGGTTTCCCCACTCCTCTTACTCTATAGCTTTCTATAGTTACGATTTTGTTTTTTTCTTTTTTAATTGAAATTAGTTACAAATTAATTGATTCGCATAGGGAATTTTTTGCTTCTCCTCATCGTCCTCGTATATTCATCTCTTTTTTGTATTTTTCTTTTGCTTTTCCTATAGTTTTTTTAGTTTTCTTTCTTTACAAAGATATTGGAACTAAACTTTCGCAACAAGATTTTGAATATAGATAATAATGGAATATTTAAAGACAACACTAGCACTAACTCAAGTCCAAAAACGAAGAACAACAAAACGTCATATAATTCTCGAACTATATATAATCGGTTTTGTGATTTAACGCCTGCATCCAGAGGATCCATCGCAGAGATCCCCTTGCGAGGATCTGGGGATCCTTAGCTGAAGAAGGGCGATAAATCACAGTTGCACAAAGACCCGCCATCGCCAGTCTTGCAGAGCACCTTGCACACTTCGTTCCAGTCCGGAACCGCGGTCGTGGCTTCCGCATCCGCCGCTGCTGCAACTATCGGTGCAGCAGTGACATCCACTTGGATTGTCTCGCGGGGGATTGGCTTCTCGGAACCGGAACCGTATGTAGTCTTGCCCTGCGTTCCACTGGCCATCATATCCTCTCTCCAAACCATCTCCTCCGTCTCCTGCTTTCTCTGCACCTCCTGCTGGCAGGGACTACAGCCGGGCAGGGAGCGACTCCTTTGCTGGCAGAAGCTCGAGCAGATCTTGTCGCCCCATTCGGCTGGAAGAAAATTAATAAAAAGAATTAGGAATTAGTAAAAGTGCAGAAACCAGTTGAACAAATTATTAATAATTAATTTGTGATCACTTTTATGTATGTAATCTGTTTGCAAAATATATTTTAAAATGTCTGGTAAATGTCAGAAAAATTAAATTTTTTAGCATTTTTTTTTAATTGAATGAGTGCAAATCTAATTTACTTTGTTTTCAATTCACATTTTAAAGACTTAACCAAATATTACAATAATGATTTTAGTTAAGAATGTTATATATTTCAAATATTTTAAATATTTAAAAAACATATTAATACGATAAAAAGGTAACACTAAGTTTCCTGGCAATGTCTGTTTTAATATTATAACTCATCTTTTTTATTGAATCTAATATATGTATGTATTATTTTAGGTATTGTTATTAATTACAAATTAAACTATTTTCTTCTATATTCTGTATAGAAATTTATGCTGTTCTAAATTCTTTAAAATAGGTATTTATTGACACAAAAAAAAAATTAATTCTGATCTTATTAAATCAACGTCTTATGAAAATTAAATTTAAATTGATATAAAAAGAAATATAATTACTGAGTAACATTTTTAAATTCACAGATTCTACATAAAAGAGCTCTTTTACTTAATTATTATTTTGTATTTGTTATATTTTTTTTATTATTATTTATTTATTATTTTTTGGTATAGGCAGTCCTAGGGGTATTTATTTATGTATTATTTTTTGGTACTTACCTCTAGGCAGTCCACACAGTTGCCGGCACTTGGCCACATCGAACTCCGGTCTCAGGATCGTGTCCTTGGCCCCGCCAGGCGTTGAGGCAACGCCAAGGCCAGCTCTGCAAGGATCAATAATAAATAATCGTGAATTTAAATTATAATAATAAATTGAAATAGTAAACTTAAAAACTTATTAATAATACAAGATCCCTTTTGTGAAGTGAAGATACCAAAATTTGTATTTCAGTTAGAGATCTTTTGTTAAATAATTTGAAAGTAAAGATCAGATTGAAAGATCATTTCAGAGAGCAGATCATCCTTATTTATATATATATTTGTAAATAAGATCTTCATTTCTAATTTTTTTAAATAATTCAAATTAAGCTTTAATATTTTTTTGTCACCATTTCTAGTTAACATATTTGACACTTGAAAAAAACACTGAACACGCGCCGTGAAAAACTAAACTAGAGATAATAAAACATGTTTGACATTTGCGATTAGTGAAATTCTCGATGAAAGCCACTTGAAAGGCCGCCGCATTCCACAATTCGTTGATTTCTCATGGCCAGACACTCACTTTCGTTTTCAGTTCGCCATAATCATCATTAGTTCCCGCTTTTTTGGGGAAAACCTTCGCGGCACACACACTTTCGGGACACAAAAAAGGCCACCTCACTCTATGCTCTACTGTCTGGCGTTCCACTCCACTCTATATGATTTTATTTTGGTAGAGTTCTGGCAGCTTGTTTATCCGAAACTTACCCGCAGAGCTCTTTACACAGCAAACTCCAATCCTGAACTGCGCTGTTGGGTTCTGCGACTTCAAGGATGTTGGCTGCGAATGCAGCATCCCCCACGGCATCGTCCTTCGGCAGCGCCGCCAATGACGTCACGGCCGGCGCAGGCGCACCAAGGATTAGGAAAATGACCAATGGCAGGCCGCATAGCCAAGGTTTTCCCCGTCGCTTTTCCACACGCTTTCCCATCGCTGGGGCTAGAAGGAGACGGGAAGATTACAAATTGGGATGTAAAAAGGAGGAAGGGATCCTTTGCGGGGTATGAGGCCAAAATGGAGGCTGACTCGTCCTCCCTTACAATAGGAGCAATTGTGCTCAAAATGCAATTATCGCGCGCTCAGGAATAGGCAGCATAAAAAACAAACAGTAGACTTCCACTATCTCATGCCAGAGATGCAGCTCCTCCACCAGCTCCTCCTCCTCTTCATTGTTATCCCGAGCATTTTCTATCCGAATTTCATGCGCTTGATTTGCCAAACTCAAAAACGGGGTTATGCAATCGCTGGCGTCTCTACGGAGATGTTCCAGGAATCCAGCCGCCGCTTTTCCCAGCGATTTTCCGACACAAAAATACCAACGAGAAATACCTGAGCTAACCAACCTGCTGCCGCTTCTGCCGCTGCTGCTGGAACTTTATTTTGTCAGGATAATGACAGTCGCCTAAGCAGACACAATCTCCAAAAATCCCACCTCCCGCAAAACTCCCTGTTGGGCCAGGAAAAAGAATGTTTATAGCCCCCGGGGCGAGCCGAACATGGTGTTCCGGAGTACCAGGACCTCTGGGCCACAGTTGAGAGTCGAGTGCGAAAGAGGACGCTTCGCTGGGCCCCTTTGGACCAAAATACACACACAATCCAGGATAGGATTGAATTAACTAGCCGGCAAAGCCCACTCCCAGCTGCGGGCAGTGGCACAAGTGTCCAAAGATTTTCGCCTATCTGGGCTACAGGGCCTATTTGCGCTACGTGCAATCACAGCCAGGTGAGAGTCGTATTTTTTCCCTCAAGGGTTCGCTTCATTGTCCAATTCTGTTTGCTTTTTAATACCCTATTTGAAAAAGGATACTGTTGCTTATGGTAGAGTTTTTGCGGCATAACGAATTGTGGAATATGTTTTCTCATGTTTTGACTGAATAACTTCATGGCTTTTATAACGTATTTATACTTTAAAGTTTGATTTTGAATTTTGAAACCTAATTCGATAGCCTTACTAAATGGGTATATTTAATTTAATGCAAGGAACTGATAAACTTCCTCTTCTTTTATTAATACATTTCTTAGACTACTTTTTAGTTGAGTTTTAATTTTGAAACTGTGATTTTTATGTATTTAAAATATATTCATCAGAAAGAGTAAATCAGATTCGTATTTTCCATTATCTTTACTCTTATCCTTTTTTATTTTTGTACTGGTTCAGCAACAATGACAATTTCCGACAAAAAATATGTTGGGTCAATGGACAAATAAGATTTAAAATCGGACTTCAGTACACTACAAATAAAATATATATGCTTTTCTCCAATAAAGAAATTTAAATTTGGATTTTAATACCCTTAAATTCAGTTAATGAAATATTCGTCTGATAACATTTATAACTATTTTTCATGACTTAATTTGTACTTCCACAATTATTTTTCTTATAAATTATTTTAGGTATTGTGATCAATAATAAATATACCAAAAATATTATATTAAACCCTCTTAATAATTTTGAAATCTATATTAAATATGCTTAACGTTCAGTGTATATTTTTTCGCAATAAGTGTTCATGTATTTACTGTGACTTTTTCATGTGAAACACTTTTATATCCGCTTATGCAAGCACTTCCGTTTTGGCACCATTTGGTACAAATAATATTTATGTTTTTTTGCCGATTAAATGAATGTTGGAATTCATATATAAAATAGCTGAACAAATGGCACCATTTATTTAATATATTCGTTGATATTAAAGGGTATTTTGTGGCGCCTTCTGTTCTCTCAACCTAAATCCCTATAATTCCTTTGTTAGCCATGTCCATGTCGGCTCTTGTTGCCATTTCCACTGCTAACTTACTTTGCTTTTCAAAAGTTTGACTCAATTAAATCCAATTGTTCGCTCCACCTGCTCTTCTCTTAAATTGTTTAAACTCTTTTTGCGCTGTCTGGCTTTTATATATAAAGCTGTCCGATCCGAATGCTGGCAGTTGGTCAACTGAGTCGCCGCCGATGCGAAATTCCCACTTGCTAATAATAAGTGCCTTTGATGGCTTTATCTGGCATCGGTGTCACCGATTCAAATGGGAATCAGCGGATATACTATCGCGGATTTCCATCACCATATGTCCCAATACCCGGGTTTTTTGTCTAGGCCAGGCCAAAATCGGAGATAACTTTGAACGGAGTTGCTAATTATTATTGGTAGCACATGTCGTTGAAGTGGCCAGGCGATAAGTCGCCGACTTTATTTCGCCATATATTATGTACATAATCGGTCGGTCTATATGAGGTTTTTGCACTGATTACTGGGGAATATTTGAGTGACACCTGTGATGGATGGCCTAAGTTTAGGGGCTAACAGGTAGAGTCTCTGGGGAGTAGAGGGAGTGAACAAACTAATATCAAGTATACGCCATGTTAGATCACGTGATTTTAAGCTAGGTTGAAGTTTACTACAGGCATTAATAGTGTTAAAATTAAATAATATTTTATACTAAGTTTCATTAGAAAGTATGTCAGAGTGTCACAAATAAATATTATAATAAATACATTCTTAGGAATGCTTTTAGAACTAATGGCTCCTTCAGAAAACTTATAGAAATAATATATATACAAAAGGATAATCCAATTAGAATAAATGAATAAATAAAAATGAATAATTGAATAATATAATGAAATACAAACAACAATTACAAGGTTCAAGGTAATCATTTTTATAGATAAATGAACTGTAAATAATAACCACTGGGTTTAAGTGTTAAGAGTATTATTTTTTAAAAATTAGCTAGCGCAACTGAACCATTTAAAAATAGCTATTAATTGGCTTAAGAACCATTTAAATTGATAAACAATTTTATCCTGCAATTATTCCTAAAACAAATAATTAATTACATTCCAAAACTTATTTTTCAAATAAAACATATCTATCAAAAGGGGGCTTTAAATTCTAACTTAAAGTGTGATCTTAAATTCCTAAAAGAAGTTCCTAAACTAACAATGTAATTATATTCTTCAATTTTCTCTAAAAAAATCTCTAGAAATATTTTCCTTAATGGAACATATCTTGCTAAAGTGCGAATTAAATGATATATATAAAAGAGTGATTGCTATAAGGATCCTTGGCAGCAGTTATTTCTCAAGTAATGGTCCTTCCATTCCATTCCGTAAGCTGCAGTCGTCATTTACATGGAAAGACACTTGCCAAATGGTAAGAGAAGCCTTTCACATCGATGATGTTGCTGACGCAGCAGGTCCTGCCGAACAAGGACCAAGGAGCAAGCAAAGTGCCCAGCAGCTTCAGCAGCTCCTGCCTGGTGTCAGATAAGAGAGTATGGGAGAATTTCAGTGGAAAATGAATGTTTTACAGCGCTCGTTGTTCTCAAGTTCCTCCACTTTGATGGACGTCATTTCTCCGCCCCTCCCCCCTTTTCTCCTTGCTTCGATTATATAACCTTCCTCCCTAGGTCCCTATGTAAATAACACGTATACGTATGTGGCTCGAAAGTATGCTATGAAAAGCATTCTCACGGAAATAATGCAATTTCCCTACCATGCGATACATATACATATATTTTTTTAAGTTGGCACTAGAACCTCGCTTTGACCTAAATTTCTATATACAAATGTTCTATATATCAAAACCATATATGTCTTAGGTTCCATATATATTATATAGGATGATATATATAAAATATAGAAGCACACGTGCTACTGGAAAACGGCGGCAATTATGTCCGGTTTTTCGGCTGGCATTCGGAAGGAAACTCTCATAAAAAGTTGTGGGTCATTGTAAATGTCAGAAACAGTGGCGGAATTAGTTTGTTAATTAGCTTTTCATTCTGTCGCCCCCACAGAGCCCTCTTCTAATTTTTTTTTATTTTTCATTATTATTTTTCCAGCTTAGTTTCCTCAGGCGTGCGCATATACATTACTTTGTTTTTGTGTATCTGTTGGGGCAAGTTGTGCGGGGGAAAAGTGGCATTCAGCCCACTCACAGTTGAAGCTCCGCCCACGCAAAATGGCTCAACAAAGATGGTTGCCCCAAAAATCGATGACGTCATGGCTGCTGAAGGTTATGCAAGAGATGGAGGAGGAGCAGGAGCAGGACCGAGTAGTATATATATATGTATATATTCGTGTGGGCCGCCATTTTGTGGGGCTGAAAAAGCTTCGTAGGATGCCCAGTTGGATGCTGGTGCTCATAGCTCCGCAGATCGTCAGCGAGTGTAGGCTGCTCTCAGTTCCCTAAAGATTTTCAGTTTAGCAAAAAGTTGTAAAATACCAAATATATTCTAAATAGTAAATCAATTTAGTTAAATTACTTGAAAAACCAGTGAGTTATAGGCTCCGTCCGCGCGAGTGTTTGAGATATAAATACGAGAGAAGTGCTTTGTTTAGCTTTGCTTGAAAAAGGAACTCTGTAAGTTGTCGCCTATTTAGACCTCAAGTAGTACCAGCATCTGTCTCCAGCTCCATTCTATATACTATAAATATATATATATCTATTATATATATAGAGATATACATTACGCATTTCGTCCTCGCACATTCCTATAGTTATTTTACTGAGACAAAGCGTCGGTGCCTCGTCGCCCACGAAACACACAGTCAAAGTGAATTATCTCAAGCAGTACATCGACGATATCCGCCGGATAATCGGTAAGACCCAAAGGATATAAACTCTGATTTTCGAACGCCTTTCGGTTGCATAAGTTTCCTCGTACTGTCCAAGGTTTTCAAGAGCAGCTGTCTGTCTGTATCCAATATCCTGTATCCCCAGAGTCCCCATGCAAATTTATATGTATATAGAAATATGTATATATTTACAGTCGGAGGAAATTGGCTTAGCACTCTCTACTGCGCAATAGCAGATGGCGCCAAAAAACAAGGCAAAAGGAAGGAGGGGGCTCTCAGAAATCTGTGTATATATACCTCCTAGATAGGGGGGTGGCCAAGCTTGCCCTTCAGTTGTCCTTGTCCAGAGCACATAGCCCCCGCCACCCACACCATTTCGCCATTTTGCCATTTTCCCTTTTCCACTTTTCCCTTTGTTTATTTACACGCCCATTGCATTTTCACACTCTGCGCGAATTTGTTATTGTCGACGTTATGCAATTTCCCTATGTACCCAAGGATATAGATAAGGGGAAAGGATGTGGATAAGGAGGAGGAGGAAAGAGTAGGGATGCTGGGCCTTATGTAACACCTGCTTCAGGGTCTTCAGGTTTAGGTCGATTGCATAACATTGACTCACTTCATTTGGCCTAGCTCCATTTGTTCTCTATCAAGTGGTGTCTACACTACCGGGATTCCCCACATTAATAACTTTATATATATATTTTTCTGTATTTTATTGTCCTTGCAGAGGAGAAAATGTCGCTGAATCCGAATGGGTATAAATTGTCCGAGAGGACGGGCAAGCTGACGGCATATGGTGAGTGTATATCTTTTAAAAATTAAGGGTTAAGTGTGGGTATTTATCATAAAATTACTATTTCATTAAAAACGCAACTGTTGCTTATAAAAGCTTGTTAATAAATTTTAAAAAATATATACAAATAATAGTGTAAGAAGAATATCAATTTAAAATTAACATGATAATAAGCTTATAAAGAAAACAGAGTAAAATTTACTCATAAAAATAATTCCCCTTTACTTTTAAAATAATATATTCTTTTGATTACATATTTATTTATTACTTAATATATTTTTCACTATTTCTTATTTTGTTACTTATTTGTAATGGAAATCATCGCTCTTTAGCCTTTTCTTTGCCATCAATACGAACTGAAATATTCGCTGTCATTTAATCGATAATCAATAATATTTTATATGATAAATTTTTTTTAAAAAATCATAGTTTTTCAAATAACATAACTAAGCTAAAAATGCATTAATTTAATGTGATAACAAATCTTTTTTTGTCAAATTTTGAACATTTTAACGATGTTACTCCTTATTAAAAAATTTCAAAAATGTTATTTTTAACCGGACATGGCTAGATCGATTTGCCTGTTGAGGCTGATCAAGAATATATATGTACATATAATTTATAGAGTCTAAAATGACTCCTTCACTGCATTACCAGCTTCTGAAAACATTTTTAATACCTTACAGGGTAAGCGTTCTATAAAAATTTTAAGCTATATTCTTTGCACAGTTAATCATTTACAAAACATATATGTATAGCTACACAGAAATCACAGAGAACATATTGTTAGATTTATGCAACTTATTTTCCACAATAATTCCCTCCATCGCACAAAATTCTCCCACATGATAAGTGTATTTTAGCAATATGTTTTCTAGGGGGGATTTCAGTAGTCCTTCTGGCAAACATTTTGTCCTCCGCATAGCTGCACTTGAATCGCATTTGGCTGGGCAAATACTCGTAATAAACGAGTGTTAAACTGACACTGTCAGGGACACTGGCTCGGAAAATGGCAAACAGTGGTGGCCTGCCAAGGACGTGGACAAGCATTGGGCTGTCCAGGACACTCGTGTCCTTGATAAATGGCCCTGCAACGCAAAGCTCTAAACTCTAACTGTGTGTATGAGTGTGCGTATAAGTTTGGCTCCTTTGAAGCGTGAAACTGGCGACTGTTGCCTGTAACAGATTTTCCTCGAATTTTCCCCCAAAAAAAAACACGAAACAAACAGAGAGACAAACAGAAGCAGAAGTCAAACAAATCCACCACCAAGAAGACCAGGAGAAGAGCCAGACGCGTGCCTCAAATTGAAAGGCCAACAAACATAAACCGTTTAGTCACAGGATATTGCTCACGCTCGACTCCAGGACTCCAGGACTCCTGTGAGCGCGTGTGTGTGTGCCGGCTGTGCTTAATGCTCCTGCAGGATTCGGGGTGGTCCGGAGCACCCACCCAGTCGAGCACATTAAATTTTATTTAACTTTTTGCCCGTTAACTCGAGGAATTTTTGAAATTGCTACAATTTGTCCACAGCCGCCGTCTCCTGGAAAATGTTAATCATGCGCAACGTTAAGTTTTCAATTGATTTTCCAGCTGGCTTTGAGCTTGGAGTCGCTGCTGCTCCCATTTGCTCGGTGGCTTAGTGGCCACCGATTATGCTTAGAGGCAAAGCCCCAGTAATTAATTGCAGCCACCGCAGAAGGACAACGGCAAGGACAATCCCCCTGATGGGAGTCCTGCGCACGCGAAATCTGAGCCAGGCTGAACTGGGAGAAAATCTGTGAGATTGAAATTAGCCATTAAATGGTCAAGTGTGACTTCTACGCAATTTCAATTAAAATCACAACTTAATGGCTTGATTATAATTGCTTTCGGAAATTTATGGCATAACTTTGTTAATAACCCAAATAGGGAAATAAAAGAGGTTTCAAAAAAGCAAAATTTTGTTATGGAGTTTTCTATACTGATTTGCTAATTAAATTACATAAAATATTATTAATATAATATCACATATGTTTTCCTTTGGAAACTCCTTATTTTTGCATTTAAAAATCCTTTAAATTTATGGTAAAAGGAACAAAATAGCCTTGAAATTCAGTAAAAGCATACAATTTCAATTATTTATTGTATTTATTATTTAATCTCTTACTAGTTTTTTTAAACATATTTTATCTTACTAACATATGGCTTCTGTTTTTTATTTAATATTATTTAACCCCAAAACTCACAAGCTTATTGTAATGATTGAAGTTAAATTCCCCCCAGTGAACACACATAAAACACACAAAGTTATAGTTGAAAACACAGCCTGCCTCTGGGGATTTTTAAAATACCTTGCCTCTTGGACAAGTAAATCTCTGTTTTTTACGACATAAAACTCCCCACAAATCATGAGCAGTAATAATAGCCATATATCATGATAAAATATAGAGGGAAAACCATTTTTCCTGTCAGCAACGGAGCCACGCTTTTCATATTTACTGATAAGGAGAACTCATTTGGTTTTTTCTGCACCCTCTTTTTTTTTTGTGGTGCGTTTGTTTTTCGTATCAGATCTCATGCCCACCACAGTGACCGCTGGTCCGGAGACGCGGGAGTTCTTGCTGAAGGTCATCGATGTCCTGCTGGATTTCGTAAAGGCCACCAATGACAGGAATGAGAAGGTCCTGGACTTCCATCATCCCGAGGACATGAAGCGACTTCTGGATTTGGATGTGCCAGATCGAGCATTGCCTTTGCAGCAGTTAATCGAGGATTGTGCCACCACATTGAAGTATCAAGTGAAGACGGGTGAGTCCTTAACTAAAATTTAATATAAAAGTATTTTTATAATATTTATAAGAAATATATATAAATGCAAGAAAATAAATGGGGAAGGTTACTTAAGCGTTGGAAAAAACAGACTAAGAGCAATTAAAAAGAATTCTCCAAGTAAAGTGAATAATAAAACAAGAATGAAATTAACATCGGGAAGCTGAAGTTGATATATCCTTGCAGCTGGCAATTGAATTATAGGATCGTAACTAAATTTAAAATATTCGCATTCTTTGAAGATTTATCAATATTTTTATAAGGCAATTTTTTTTTGGTAAAGTCAAAATTAAAAAAAAAAACATTATTAAGCCAAAAATGCCTTAATTTCAATTCGGAAAGCATTTTTATGCTAGTTTTTATAGTGTTAACAAAACTGCATACTCAGTTTTCAACTTTAAAAAATTTAATTTTTTGTCGATTTTTGAAAAAAAGAATGATATATCCCCTTATGAAAATTTCAAATTTTAACAAAATTTGAAAAATTTTATTTTTCTCCCAGATATGCCTAGATCGATTCTCCTATCGATGCTGATCTCGAATATATATGATTTATAGGGTGGGAAATGACTCCTTCACTGCTTTTGAAGTTCCTGATTTAAACTATAGTAGCCTGCAAGTGTATAAAAACAGGAGCTTTTCTATTTTGTTCGTTGAATATTTATTAAATAAAAATAAGAGCAGGTTTTCCCTGCATAATCCCCTGAACGTATGGTATATTCAAAGTCTTTATCATACAGCTTTTCCATCTCTCCCGATGAATATTCAAAGGTGATCTAAGTAGAGCTTACCTCCTTGACTTGCCGCCTTATCACCTTCCTCTGATGTTTGCTCAGTTCCAGATTAATCAAATTTGTCCCTGCTTAGCATATGCTTTTCATCTGTGGCATATTTTTGTATGGAGGAAATCACAAGGACGCGTGTCCGTGGACCTTGCGGTCGCATTAGAACACAAAGTGTGCAGCCTCCGAGATAAGCACATTAGCATATTGATGGCACTCGGGAGATAGCCATAGACAGCAGACAAAGCCATTTTATGGCCCATTGAGCCGTACTCCCCGCTTGTTTACACCTTTCAAAAACACTCGCCGCAGGGCTAAAGTTCCCCCGCAATGCCCTCAATCATCGTCCCTTCAAGCACCGGGGCCATCAATCATAAATCAGGCAAAAAAAGGGTTCTCTTTTGTGTGTGAGGCGGCGGCGGCGGCTTTAGCAGCCAAAAGTCATTCGCACGTTTCACTTTTTACTTTTTTAATACCCAATAGTTGGTAATAAAATCAAAGAGGATATATTTGAAGAGATTTTAGAGATTACAATAGTATACAATACAATATATTACAATAGTATACAATAAAGTTTTGATATAACTAAATATATAAAAAATAGCCACAGTAAAAGTTATTCTTTTAGGATCATTTTTTATCTAGTGTGCAGTATCCTGTGCAGTTTCCTTTACATTTATTACAAATATATTTTAAATATAAAAGAATTATGATTCCAAGGTATCCTTTAGTTCATAACTTTCTCATTACTTTGTTCCTACTTGTTTTGAATGTCCTTGCTGATTTGATTTCATTGAAAATTAATGCGAGAGGAGGTCTGCTCTCAGTCTTTGTCCTTTGCTGTTTGTGCAGTCCTTGCACGTGACCACAATTGTGTTTGGAGTATCGATAATAAGCGTATTTACTAGACCAAGGACCAACCCCACACCATACAGCACTCCAACCCCCAAGAGTTACCACCCCTTCCTTCCATATCCGGAAACTGTGGCCTTGTCTCGGAAGCAGGCGTTGCTTCCTCGATTTACGAAGCAGGAAATGAGAGACTGGCTCCTGCTCCTGTTTACGAGAGATATATACAAGGATGTGTGACTGAAAATTGAATTAAAACTCTACGCAATCAGGGGAGCTGAACTGAATAAACCTAGATTGTATGGGAAACTTCTGGTAAAGAAATCAGTTTGCAATCAGTACAAAAATAAGTGAGTTTGTTGCTGGTTTTTAGTTGGTGTTGATTCTAGGGAATAGTTTGAAAATAAACTTAACTTTCAGAATATTATAGAACATAAGTTTCTGTATCGTAAACTTAATATTATTCAATTTATTTGTAATGAATAGAGGCACTTCTCTAACTATTCTTGTGTAATTAACTTCAAAGTATTATTTAACAAATTCCAGATCTAAGCTTCTAATTAACAAAGAGAACTCATTATTAAACCCACTTTCGTCTGCATTTGACAAGGTTCCACCAACTTTCTTGAAGATATCACTCAAGGAGGAATATATGTTCCTTTTCCTATCCTTGATATAGCAGCCAGGACTCGTCCTTTTCCGAGCTTTGCCATTCCACCAGACGCGATAAGAGTCCCCATTTATGATCCGTAATCTCACATAATGCTCGCCCTGTCAAACGGGCAACCTGATACGACGGATACGACCGAAGGACCTCCTCCTCCTCCTTTTCTGAGGACTCCATAAAAACGAGGGGAGCTTTAATCAAAATCCGTTGTTATTTTCTGACTCGCTGCATTCCTGATCCTTTGATGCGAATGAATGGGTGCCGGGCGAGGGTGAATCGACACGATACGAGGCGAGTCGTCCTTCGGATGGGAATATCCTGGCCACATGCGCAAATTGAAATGTTTGAATGCCGACGCTGTGTCAGTTGGTGCAGAGAGAAAAATATATATACTACTCAGGAAAGTTAAAGAAGATTTTGGAATAATGAAATATATAAAAAGTTCATAAATGGGAGTATTTAAATTGGTGTTTTAACGTTACTATGGATTATGATATATAATTGAATTCTTGTTCCTTTAATAATCAAAATATTCCAAAAAACTTACTGATAATAATAGATATACTCCACAAAGTCCCCAAGATTATTTTTCACTGCATTTTCCCCCGTGTATGAAGGGATTTAGCCTTGTGGGCAATGGGATTTTAATCACACGACTTATGGCACTCAAGATGTGAACTGACAGACGCCGAAGGGTTCAAGCTCGACTGAAACAGGAGGAAATGGATGTTGGACAGCTTCCTGATGCTGACTGAAAGCATTTTCTGATTCTCCGTGGGAGTTTTCCCGCTCTCTTCAGACAGACAGAAAGACTAAACCCTCCAAAATCGAAGCTCAAGCAAGTTGCAATTAGCTACAATAAATGAGCAATTTATGGAGCTCAGAAGAGCGGCAGGGGACGGCTCAAGGATTAGACTTGTTGAGCAAGAAAGAAAATCATAGGAATCACAGGGCATACTATCCCCCATCGATTGGCCAGGACCTTGTTTCGTCTGCCCTTGAACATATGCACTTCCGGAGGCCTTTCCTCGTTCGCCGTCTGTGTCCTGTGTATATTTTTCCTGTTTCCTTTCGAGGCCAGCCAGCCGTGCCTTTGGTTCCGCCTTTGTCTCTGCCCTCGAAAATATATATATATATTTTTTTTAATAAAACAAAAAACGCTGGCAAAGAGCGACTGAGGCGGGATGAAGGCTGATGGCTGCCAGGCACATCTGCTGTCGGCTTAGAGACGACACCAGGAGGAGAGACAGACATTCAGATATCCAGACAGCCGTGGCTAAAAGGAAAAGCATTTTCAGCTACATTAACCAGGCCAGGCGGTGTCAGATATAGTAGTTTTAAATGAGAAGTATTAATTAAAGATGGGCTATTAGGGTGAGAAAAAGGGGTTATTTATATAAGATAAGATAAGATTGCTCTTTAAATCTGATCTACAAAAGCTAATTAATTTCTATTAATTTCCCAGGACATCCTCACTTCTTCAACCAGTTGTCCAATGGCTTGGACCTGATCTCCATGGCTGGTGAATGGCTAACAGCCACGGCCAATACCAATATGTTCACCTATGAGATCGCTCCCGTGTTCATTCTCATGGAGAATGTTGTGCTGACAAAGATGCGTGAGATTATTGGTTGGTCCGGTGGTGACTCCATCCTAGCCCCCGGTGGCTCCATCTCCAATCTGTATGCCTTCCTGGCTGCTCGTCACAAGATGTTCCCCAACTACAAGGAGCATGGCTCTGTGGGTCTGCCCGGCACTCTGGTTATGTTCACCTCGGATCAGTGTCATTATTCGATCAAGTCTTGTGCCGCCGTGTGTGGTCTGGGCACTGATCACTGCATTGTGGTGCCTTCCGATGAGCACGGCAAGATGATCACCTCGGAGCTGGAGCGTTTGATTCTGGAGCGTAAGGCCAAGGGCGATATACCCTTCTTTGTGAATGCCACTGCCGGCACCACTGTCCTGGGAGCCTTTGATGATATCAACACGATTGCCGATATCTGTCAGAAGTACAATTGCTGGATGCACATTGATGTAAGTGGGTGTTTTGGGGAAATAATTTAAAGGATTTTATATGATTTTATCAGAAATTATTTAAAAAGACTAAGAAGAAATCAATTTTATGATTCTCTTTTGACTATTTATTTTGTATTAATTTGATAGTAATTATAATGCTTCTTTTTAATATGTATTTTTTTAATATTTCAGGCTGCTTGGGGTGGTGGCTTAATGATGTCACGTAAGCATCGTCATCCCAGATTTACTGGCGTTGAGCGGTAAGTAAAATATTACTTTTTAATAAGATAATAATTCACTTATTTAAAATGCTTTAAAATTAATATAAAAGATGTCTTTATTTTCACAAATCTATAAACAATTGACAGCTTTCTTTAACGAATTATATCAAGCTATTAATGTTTCCATTTATATCCAGAAATTTGTAACTCATTCACTGCTGAAATCATTTCATATTTCTTAAGCTTGACTTTTAAAACTTCCTTCCAAGTTTTGTAAGCAAGTTGTCAATTCATTGCAGATCCTTTGACTGCCTTAAAAGTCCTCTTTACAAAAGTCCTCGTCTCTCTATTGTCCCAAGCAATTGTTTTTCTCATTCATCATCCTTCTTGGCATGAACTTTTTGCCCTCATCTTTTTGGGCAAGTCAAAACACAAATTGAAATCTCTTTGCTGGGTTGGGTAAATTTAAATCTAAATGCTCCCAAATGGCCCGCATCGCTCAAATCTCAACCCCAAGTCGAGTTGAACATGTGGGAAAAATCTCAATTTGTCATTTAGTGCCTCCATCAGGTGTTCAGAGCTTACAGGGATTACAAGGCACAAGCCGAGTGCATTTTGGCCCGAACAAACAAATGAACAAAGTGGATTTCCTTCCCTCAATCCTAATACATATATATATATATAAGTCCTGGAGGGGTGCCTTTGGGTGGGCATTACTTACACAACAATTACGCCAAACAAAAAACCAGGCAGGGATGGAGTGTGGGTTCAAGGATTCATCCCCGGCGAGTGAGGAATTTTTAATTTTAAAGTCGCAACCTGAAATGCACTTTATCCCCGACTCCATCTCCAATCCATTTGGATTTCTCCCGTCCTGGGTAATGCTCCTTGGAATCCTTGGAAGCTTAGGCAAATGCGAAAGTGCAGCTGTCGTCGTATTGACAGCTTGCGGTCAAGCAGCAGACTCCATAAACGCTTTTGAATTGATTGTCCTTCGGGGGCGGAGAGGTCCTCCTACTCCTCCTGCTCCTCCTCCTGTTACCACATCCATCCATCACCCGGACACGTTCGGCTTCAATTAGTTTGAATGGCTCCTAAGGCTGGAATTGCTGTGGCATGCAAATTGAGGTCCTTAATTGAAAGGCTCTCAGTGCGAATTAATCATTAAAATGCCCATGCAGCTGACACTTTTGCGGCCTTCGCTAGCTTACATAGCTCTGATTAATGGTTATTTGAAGGAAGTGAAGGTTATTGAGAAGGTTTTGGAGTTCTTAAATCCGCTGAGTTTCGTTGTGGCTCAAAAACCTTAAAACAATCGAACGAAAATCGAGTCTTAAAAGCTTGGCTTAACATGCCGCCGCTCAATCAAATTGTGGTTAGATTTTGGTATATACTTAGACTATAATATACCCTATTTTAAGGACAAGAAAATATGCCTGCAATTTTGAAAACTTACCATATTAAAGTGTACTCCTTTTTAATATAAAAACATAAGAAAATTTATGTGCCATGAAGTTCCTTGCTTAAACATAGTTTAGGTATTATATAATGAGAACTTAGTAAGAAATTAAAAACCCAGGAAAGTAGAGAATACATCTTAATAATATAATATTCTGTGAATTCTAAGAATTCTTATGAATTTTAGCTCTCTTGCCACAAATACTTAGCATACCCTTACCTCAAAAAATACCCTAGGTTAAACAAAAAAGTGAAGCACACTTTTCAGCCACTCCATAAGGATCATGTTTATAGACACCAACTCGCACACACACACACTCAGACTCAGACTCCAGGCTGCGCCCACATAACTGTAAATAGCTCCCCCAGGGATGTTTAGCTGTCAACCCTCCAGAGCCCACCGGGGGTTGTCCTTGCTCCTTTTTGAATTCAATTAAAGTGCTGCGGCCTGAAATTGCCACAATTTATGGCACTTGCCGGGACACAACAGTGCTCCCATCCCTTCGTCTTGTCACCCAGCGGGGGATGGTTTTATTTTTTTGGGGTGGTGTGGGTTAGACTGTGCACCACACTGCGGCAGCTTAGTGTTAATTGTTTGTAATTCGTAATTGAATGTCCATTTATTGTCATGATTTGACTTTTGCAGTGCCGACTCTGTCACCTGGAATCCCCACAAGCTCATGGGAGCCCTGCTGCAGTGCTCGACGATTCATTTCAAGGAGGATGTAAGTAGACAAGAACATAGAAATAGTTAAGTACTATTAAGATAAATAAGGTAAAAAGATATTAAATATTTTAAATATAAGTTAAATAATAATAATAATAAATATAAGTATAAAAATCTGCATAAAACAAATAGTAAAAATCACGAAATAATTTTTCTGCAAATTCCAAATTAAAAACTTAAAGGCCAGCAGCATAGGAGAGTTCAAAGTTCATCCTTTGACCACTGCCTCCCCCACAATCCCAACGATACAATTTCGTACAACAGTACATGCCTCCTTGCTTTACATTCCTTCCCTGTGCCTCCTCCATTCAGCACCCAAACATTCTTCTGGATGCACATCGGACAATGTTTGTGTAAAGAATTCCAATTGTGCTCCGAACAATTCCTTGTTGTTTCCTCCTGCCAAACCAAAAGGCAAATGTGGCCACGGGGAGAGACTACAATGCGCACTGAAATCTTTGACAGGGTTCAGCGAAATACATCCTGAGTCACCCTGGACGCTCTTTTGGGCAATATGTTGCCATCGGTCACAGTTGCGCCTTTTGGCAGGCAGGAATTTTAATTAAAATTTCAACTTGACTTATGTTCCGTAAAAAAAGGGAAAGAGAGACTGATTCAAAATCGATATTATTCCAGGGTCTGCTCATCAGCTGCAATCAGATGTCGGCGGAGTACCTGTTCATGACCGATAAGCAGTATGACATTAGCTATGATACCGGAGACAAGGTGATCCAGTGCGGCCGGCACAATGACATCTTCAAGCTGTGGCTGCAGTGGCGTGCCAAGGGTACCGAGGGTTTCGAACAGCAGCAGGATCGCCTCATGGAACTGGTGCAGTATCAGCTGAAGCGCATCCGAGAGCAGTCAGATCGCTTCCACCTGATCCTTGAGCCAGAGTGTGTCAATGTGTCGTTCTGGTATGTGCCCAAGAGGCTTCGGGGAGTGCCACATGATGCCAAGAAGGAGGTGGAACTGGGCAAGGTAAGGGGAAACTCTATATAAACTAGAATATATTATATATTTTATTCTTTACCTCACAGATCTGCCCCATCATCAAGGGACGAATGATGCAAAAGGGCACCCTGATGGTTGGCTATCAGCCGGATGATCGGCGACCCAACTTCTTCCGCTCGATCATCTCATCGGCAGCTGTCAACGAGGCGGATGTGGACTTTATGCTGGACGAGATCCATCGTTTGGGCGACGACTTGTAAAGGGTTTTCAGACCGGTCCGGTTGGGTTTTTGGTTTAATTGGGTGTTGATGTTGATATTGATAACCAAGAAGTATCTATAAGGTAAAAGCATATCAGAAGACCGCAATGAAAACCCCAAGGAATCAAGATTGAAGATTCGAATGCGAGGGGATAGAGATCCCAGTAATCATCCAGAGTTCAATGTTGAATGTACATTTGTTTGTATCTATAAAGTGTTGCTAGCTGTTCCTTTTTCTCGATTCCTCATCCCGTTATCTGTAATTCGTTATCCGTTGACCGTTATTCGTTCGCCCCCAGTGTTGGAAAACTATGTATAATCGAATCGTTTGATTTCCGTTCGATGGCAACTATAACTAAATCGTTAAAAATGTACTAAAAGAAGCAAAAGAGAAGAGAAAGCATCTAAAAGTAATATTTGAATATCTATATGTATACTGCAAATAATAATAGAATCCAGAGCATAGAAGCCACCGCTCCACACACGCACCACCAAGCCACACGGAACAGTCCCAGCCCCACACTCAAAAAAATACTAAGTACTGAGTTTAGAGAACTCAGAACTATGGAATATATATACGATATAGAAACTGTTGGAACGCTATCTTAACATATCAGGAGAAGATGAAGAATGAGTTGAGGACATTTAGTTTAATCCGTTAATTTTAAATTTGTTTGCAAATAGTAAAAGTTTTCAAAAAATAGACAAAGCTCTATGGCCATGCGTACCTTTATAAACAAATATAAAATATATGAAAAACAAAACGAGATCGAAAGAGACCGAGACCTGTGCTTGTTAATTGTATAGACAAAAACCAAAGATTGGGATCTGGACTCCAGGTCCCACTTAGTCCATGTATCGAACTGTGCTATATATAGAGAAATGAATACGTATAATCGAATTAGTTGGAGTTTAGTTTCCAGCAAATATGGCTGACAGAACAGAAATATATATAGTATATATATATTGTATATGCCCGGTGTCAATTAAACTCAATTACGAATGTTGGAAAATTCTGTTTTATTTACTCTATTTCAGTTAAGTTTTTAATCTGTTATTGGTCCAGAAAGGTTATAGAAGAGGGTCAGGAATGGAAAGAACCCAATCAAAAAACACAATCAGACATGTTACACACACAAATCGTTTGTCAGTTCAACCAAATTACAAATATATTCCCTTAACAGAAATAAATTAAAACATATATTGTATTTAAAAGCGTGTTAACTAAGTTTATCCAGAGCATCAGTGTTATATGAATCACGCTCATTTTATGTCTGTATAAATTAATGTATATGTATTTGCAGAGATCCAAATCAAAGCCACAACAAGAATTATTCCAACATCTATATAAATGCAAATGAATATATTATATATATATATAAATATATGGGTAAATCAAAATAAAAGTAATCAAAGCGCAACAAGTTATTTCTCTTTGTAAGATTTTATTTTTTATTATCGCTCTCTTCAGGTTTGGGGGCTTGGTTTTGTCAAGAGAAGAGAACAGGGAGAGATCTTGGGGTTCTTTGGAGAACCTATATAAGGCGGATCATTGAGTGGGAACCTAATCAGCTTTTATCCGACTCACTGTGGCTTCGTATAGCTATTTTTTGGTACTCTGTTTCAGTTTATTAATTCGCTCTCACCTGCCCAAGTTTTCCACTTTGAGTGCTTTTAAAATGTCTACTAGTTTTGTGCCAGTGCCAGCAGGCAGTGATTTCCCCCTGGAAAATCTGCCCTATGCTGTTTTCTCAACTCAAAATAATGTAAGTTTATTTGTGTATAAAAAAATTAACTTGAAATCAAATCCAGCACTTAAGCACTTTTTCTTATAAACTATAACCCTTCCTTTTCTTTTTACATATCTGAAAAAACAATTTTCCCACAACTCTTCTTTAGTTTTTCATAGTTTTAATCCATTTTCCATGTGACTTTGAGCCAGATCCACATGTTCTAGAATAAAATTCTTAAAACAGAAACCGCTTTTGCGGCATAGCATTTGCATATATCATCCAACACAAACTAGTTTGTTTACGAAAACAATATGCTAATCCCATCTATATAGTAACTACCCAGCAACCAGCTCTGATAAGGCCTTAAAATCATATCGTATGTGAATGTCGTAAATGATATCTCTTCCTCTCAACCCTATAGAAAGTTCATCGGTTGTGTGTGGCCATTGGTGAGCATGTCCTGGACCTGAAAGCTGTCTCGCAATTGTATCCTGTTCAAGTTCAAAAGAGCCTGCAGGCGGAAACTTTGAATGAACTTATGGGTCTGGATTTTGAAGCTTGGGATGTGGTAAGGACACAGACTCAGAAGCTTTTGACAAAGGGTTCCGAATTGGATCAGAATGTGGACTTGAAGGCGATGTAAGTAACTAAATTTAATATTAAATTAAACATTTCTAAATATGCTTTCCTTTATTTCAGTTCCATTGTACCCCAAACCGAGATAAGTCTGCATCTGCCTGCCCAGATTGGTGACTACACCGACTTCTACTCATCCATTCATCATGCCACCAATGTGGGCATCATGTTCCGTGGTCCGGATAATGCCCTGATGCCCAACTGGCGTCACCTGCCTGTGGGCTACCATGGACGTGCCAGTTCTGTGGTGGTTTCCGGAACTCCTATCCGTCGTCCACTGGGACAAACCTTGCCCGAGGGTGCGGAGAAGCCTGTTTTTGGAGCCTGCAAACTTCTGGACTTTGAGCTGGAGATGGCCTTCTTCATTGGTGGCAAGGGGAATCAGTTGGGAGAACCCATTCGTGTAGATGAGGCCTGGAAGAATGTCTTTGGATTTACGCTGATGAATGACTGGAGTGCCAGGGATATCCAAAAGTGGGAATATGTGCCACTGGGTCCATTCACGGCCAAGAATCTGGGCACTACCATCTCTCCCTGGGTGGTGCCCATGGCTGCCCTGAAGCCTTTCCTTTTGGATAATTTCCCCAGGAACCAGAGGTGCTTCCCTATCTACGTCAAAGTGTGCCTTTCAACTTTGATATCAACCTGGAGGTTTCTCTGAAGCGTAAGTTATTTTAAATATTCGTAATATATTAATCCTATTTAGAAATATTTATTGACATTCAGCGGCCGATCAGAATGAGTCTCGTATCTCCAAGTCGAACTTCAAGCACCTGTACTGGACACCATTGCAGCAGATCGCTCATCACACAGTCACTGGCTGCAACCTCCGACCAGGTGACTTGATGGCCTCTGGCACAATTTCCGGTGAGACCCCTGACTCGTACGGATCCTTGCTGGAGCTGTGCTGGCGTGGAACCAAAACGCTGGAGCTGCCAGGTGGTAAGACCAGGAAGTTCCTGCAGGACTATGATGAGGTCATCATTCGGGGTCACTGCGAGAAGAACGGACTGCGTATAGGATTTGGAGAATGTGTAGGTCAGGTGTTGCCCGCACATCCAGTGCCTCAATAAGGGATATCTAAAGATTAAGAATGAATATCATTGATTAAAGACACTTGAATAAATGAAATAATAGTAATATAAATTCGTTAAATAGTAATAATTTTTTAACTTGTTTGCTGATATATTTTTGATTTTTTTTGTTTAAATATTGGTATACCCTTGCATGAAACGCTGTGATGGAGGTATTTCCGACCCTATAAATCATATACATTCTTGATCGGCATCAATAGCAGAATCGAACTAGGTATGTCCGGTTGAAAAATACATTTTTTACATTTTTGAAAATTTTATAAGGGGCTACATCATTAAAATTTTCAAAAATCGATCAAAAATAGAATTTTGTAATTTCTAAAAGTGAGTATGCAGATTAATTAATCCAATTAAAACAAGCACAAACCCGCTTTCTGATTTAAAATTAATGAATTTTTTGCTTAGTTATGATATTTTCAAACTTCGATTCTCGACAACAAATTTTCATACAAAAATATTGAAAAGTATCGATGCGAATCTTTTATTTGATTATTGATCGAATTTAGATTCGATACTATTTTCTCAGTGCACTCGTTAATAAGCTCAACAAGTTCTTAAAGCTGAACGCTCTCACTGTAAACTACGCTCTTTCCGGCTCTACTCACTCCTTTTGCTTACTCTCAGCTGCTCCCCACACAATGGTCTCCACCGCTCTCTCTCTCTCTCTCTCTCTCTCTGCTCCAATGGCTCCCATTGCTGTCTCCGCCATTCTACGTAGCTTCGTAAATACACGCATGCCGCTTCTCCAGCTCTCGCTTCTTCTTCTTCTCTCGCTGCTTCTTCTTTGCCTGCCCCAAAACGAGCAGAGGAGCAGCGAACCGCATTCGCATTCGCGCATTCATTCGTCGGTTGTCGGGCAAAGGTGGCGCAGCACAGGGAAAACCAAAGCGGCGAACGGGGCGTATGAGTAGTGGCGCGCCTATCGAGCAAACTTGTTTAAAGTGCCATAAAAAAAAGCCACACAAAAAATCAGCACAAATAAAATAAAAAAGCTGAGAGCAGACGCTACTGGCGCCGGGCAACAATAATAATTTTCGCGACGAGTGTGCAACTTTTTTTCGTGAGCTAAAAAGTTAATATCATATATAACAAAAAGCCATAGCAGATCGCGGAACAAGTGCAGTGTCAAGAAATTATGCCCTGAATATTCAGTGTGTAAGTGAGCCACAAAATAAAATATCTACATAAATATACTGCACAATAGTGCAAATGTTTTTTCCGCAAACAACGCAGGAAAATGTCTTGGAAAAATCAATTTTTAACTCCACTCTGCGCAAGTACACACAGACACTTACACGCCGAAGAGAAAGGGCGGGCAGGCAGACTGTGCGGGCCACGGCCACCCACCCTGATGGAAAACTCTGTCTGCACACAGAGAACGTACACTGAAAGGAAAAGAAAAAATACATATATTTAGATTTTATTAATTAAAAAACTATTCAAATTTATTGAGTATTGTTTGGGAATTAAATGTATATTCTAGGCATATTTATCGAAGAGTGAAAAAAAGGTTTTAGAGTTTTGTATGCTTTATAATTTCAATTTTCCATCTTTCCTTTTAATTTCTTTATATTTTATTAGAAAATATTTTATTCAAATTATATTTTATTCAAATAATTATCAGAAACTGGTTTAAAAACTTTCCTCAAATATCCTAAAATCTATTAAAATTTTGTCGAGTGTCGAAAAAAGTCAACAAGAGACCTCCAAGAATCCATTCCATTCCCATTCACGTTCCCTTTGCCATTGTTATTGCCTGGCGCTCTCTCTCCTCTCTCCCATTTCCCTTCCCAATCTTCTCCAGCTTGCACTTTTGTGTTTTTGCATTGATTTTCTACAATGCTCCTCCGAATGTCGCAATTTCCGAAATGCAGCTGAAAAAACCAAAAAGCAAAGAACGAAGATGAATCCCTTTGGAACACTCGAACTCAGGCACACACACGCAAGCACACACACTCAGGGAGCACTTTTAGATGCAGTGCAGCATTCTTGTGGGGACATGGACAAATGCACACGCAGCACGCAAAAAGTTAATCAGGCTTCAGAAAAATAACAAATACGAGGGCATTACAGAAACGGCAGACTACGAAAAGAAAAGTAGCTTTGATGATATTTGGATACCCTTTGCTAAATATTTAAACTTTAATGAAATCATATTAGAAGGGGTTTAAATAATTTAACTTTATAGAAAAGAAATCTGGATTATAAAATTATACAAAATGAATAGGGGTATAGAATATTTTATCTTGCTTTAAAAAAATATATTTTAACTCTAGGGAATTTTAAAATGTTTGCGTTAAGAATTCCAGCAAAAAACTGAAACTGGGTGTACATATTTATAATTTCTCAAGCGATTTTTAAGCTAAAGAAATCGTAACAGAATCTTTAAACAATCTGATACCTATGTATGGGGAATAACAAGTAACAGACTATTTATAGAGAGAATTTTCTGACTCAGTAGTAGTAGTACTTTTCGTTAATTTAATTAACTTAATTTAATTATAAAATACTTGAATGCTCACAGTCATATTTTTGAGTAATTAAATAATTAAAAATTATATATATATTTATAATGATTTAATGGGTTCAAATAGCATACCCTATCAGACCTAGGGCATCGAGCAGTATTTGCAATTAACTGGCGCCGTCGGCTATCGTGCGAGAGCAGCCGGCGGTCACCACCACCTCCTCCTCCTCCACCTCCCCCCTCAATTCTCCATGCGGCACTTGAGACAGCGCCAGAAGAACCTGTTTTGGCGCGTCAGAGAGACAGCGAGAAGAGTCTTCTGGCGCTCTCTTCGGCCTGCAGTCTGCGCATGTGGAACTAGGAATAAGAGTGGAAAAACGGAAGAGAAGAGAGAGCATTTTTACCCCGTCAAATTTATTATTATTATTATTGTGCTATAAATTTGAGAATTACAAAAAACAAATAAAGTTGATAACGGAAATTTGTCATAGAACGTAATCGTTGTTAGCCGGTTCTCCTACTGCCAATTCTTCTAATGATCTTTGAGTGCATCTTCCAGAGTTTCTTCTGATACCAAGCATCCAGTTCTTTACTGGTAACAATATTATATCTTACAGGGTATTATAATTTCAGTCAGAAGCTTCAAAAGCAGTGAAAAAGTCATTTCCGACCCTATAAATCATATATATTATTGATCAGCATTAAAAACTGAATCGATCCAGCCATGTCCAAAAGAAAACAAAATTTTTGAGTTTTTTCCTACATTTGAAAATTTTATAAGGGGTCAAAAATTTTAAATTTTAAAACTGAGTATGCAGATTTGTTAACCCTATAGAAATTAGCACAGAACAGCTTTCCGAATTGAAATTATCGCAGTTTTGGCTTAGTTATGAGATGTTGAATAGCATTGATTTACCCTAAAAAATTGTATTTTTATGAACTGAAGTTATGTTCTTTACATTAAGATCTATATTTTCTAATCTCGTCACGTAGCCATCTCTAAAAGCAAATGCTTATCGCATAAAAGCCTTGGAGAGAGATAGCTGAAGATAATACAAGGCTCTTGCTTTCATTCTTAATTTACTTTTAAAAAGTTCATGAATTGGAAACACCATAAATAATTGACGGAGATAGAGGAGGTAGATTTCATAATCGCGTGATAAGTGTATCCTGCCCCTTCGTTTTGATAAAAAATATATGCTTATCGCGCTTCAAAATTTCATGCCCCGTCACCCACAATTAACCCAAATGTCGCCAATGCAAATTTCGTTACCAGAGCGCCAGGTAAAAGTAAAAATATACATATATGTATATATTTTCACATATTTATATATTTACACTTGTGTATATAGAACACATACCCTCTAATTGGAGAGGAGTCAGGCGTAATAATTTCATCCAGCCACATAATTAATGCCTGCAAAATTTTCTAATCAGCGTGGGGTTGAAAGCAAGGCAGACAAGGGGAATGTGTGTTAGAATACTTCTTAATCTTGGGGTATATGAGAACTAAGAATTAAATTTGAATTAAAACAAATTTTATTTATAATGAATATATTTAAAAATTGAATTGATATTATGGGAGACGCTAGGGAGACCTATTTTAATAAGAAAGCCATTGGGACAAAGTAAATTTTTCTTTTATTAAATTACTACATCTTGTAAAGCTTTTTTAAATTCCTAAAAATTTATTAAAATTTTATTTTTATTTAAAAATAAAAGATTATTAATTATCTATACATAAGTATTCATTGGTCGGTATCATTTTCTTGGCATTCAAGCGCAACTGAAATGATATTTTTTGCTTATTCTGGCGGCGCCTGGTTCCAAATGGGTTCCAAAGTGCAACGGTTCCCCCGAGACATGGAGTGGGTGGCTCCCGATCCGTCTCTCCACAATCCATAGAGAGAGAGAGAGACAGAGAGAGACACTCACTACGTGATCGTGGATCGTGGGGATTGTGGAATCGTAGAATTGTTTGAGTATTTGGGTCTGGGCATTATCGTCGCCCGTTGGCTTGATAAAGTCGCTGAGCTTGCAAAATTGTCATCGCTTATTGATACATTAGCCGGGCGAAAAAGGGTGTGAGTGTGTCGCAGACAATTGATAATTCCTGCGTAGATGCTATTTATAACGAAGACAACAAGAGATTTATAAACAATCATGCTTCCTGTCAGCATTTTCAGGTCTCACAAAATGCCGTAAAATTGGATAGAAGTTAAAGTTACCTGAAAAGAAATATTATCAGCTACTCAAAGATCTACTCAGCCATGAATTGGTTTATCTACAGTTCTTGGCCCTGGCTTCTGCTGGCCATGATCTCTCTGGGCAGTGCCTGTAAGTATTTACATATTAATTTATGAAATTAGAAGTACTTAGTAATGGAATTTTCTCGTAAATATTAGCACCTGTGCCCAGTCGCCAATACAGCTGTATGAGCTACCAGGAGAATGACAACTCCTTCCATGATGATGACACCGACCAGGATGTTAGCAATGAGCTGCAGGAGCAGCAAATAGAATCCACTGTATTGCCCGATGAGCCACATCAACGCACCTGCTCCGATGGTTATACCTTCTGTTTTACTCTATGGAATCAGACGGCCAATGAGACGAGGGTTGTCAAGCAGGGTTAGTTTATCTTCAACGAGAATTCATCAACATATAGTATACTAAAATCCTGATAAATCTCCCCATAGGATGCTGGAAGGACAATACAGATCGTCCCTCAATTTGCAGCCATTCGGAGTGCACCAGTTCGGCGCCCACTTCAAAGACCAATTCCCTCTATTACTGCTGCTGTTCCGGTGATGTCTGCAATAACCACTATGCCGTGGTGGAGCCAGCTCCCCTGGAACTGGGCTCCAATGATGCCAGAAATTCAATCACAAATCGAGCAACGGCTAAGCAGCAACAATCCTTCATGGCCAGCACAATGTTGGGCTTTGCTGGAGGAGTAACTGCCCTTATGATTGGCATATTCTTTGCCGTTCAGTATTGCCGTGGTCCCAAAGAGAAATCCGAACCGGAGGAGTCTCCTCTGGCACCATCGGGACCTGGTTACAGTTCCAATCTTCGGAACGTGGACAATATGAATTTAATTGGAATGCTGGGCAGTGGCAAGTATGGAACTGTGATGAAGGGTCTGCTCCATGACCAGGAGGTGGCTGTTAAGATCTATCCTGAGGAGCATCATCAGTACTATGTGAACGAAAGGAATATCTATGCTCTTCCCTTGATGGATTGTCCAGCTTTGTTGAGCTATTTTGGTAAGTATTCTACAGAAAATATAATAGGAAACTTTCTAATTATTATATCCCCCAATTCAGGCTACGATGAACGTTGCACTATGGACGGTCGCATGGAGTACCAGCTGGTGCTCTCCCTGGCTCCTCTGGGTTGCCTGCAGGATTGGCTGATAGCCAATACCATGACCTTTAGCCAATGCTGTGGCATGCTCCGGTCCATCACCCGTGGCATCTCCCATTTGCACACTGAACTCCGTTTGGGGGATCAGCACAAACCATGTGTGGCCCATCGGGATATCAACACCAGGAACGTGCTCGTCCAAGGGGATCTAAGCTGCTGCATTGCGGACTTTGGATTTGCATTGAAGGTGTTTGGATCCAAGTACGAGTACAAGGGCGAGGTGGCCATGGCGGAGACGAAGAGCATCAATGAAGTGGGCACCCTACGCTACATGGCTCCGGAACTGCTAGAGGGAGCAGTGAATCTAAGGGATTGCGAAACCTCTCTCAAGCAGATGGATGTGTATGCCTTGGGATTGGTTCTCTGGGAAGTGGCCACTCGCTGCTCGGACTTCTATGCCCCCGGCCAAACCACACCACCATACAAGGCTCCATACGAGCAGGAGGTGGGCTCCCATCCTAGCTTCGACCAAATGCAGGCTCTGGTGGTGAGGCACAAGGCGCGTCCGCTCTTCCCCGCCGGCTGGGGTGGCGGATCAGCAGCCAAGGTGGTAAGAGACACCTGTGAGGACTGCTGGGACCATGATGCGGATGCCAGGCTGACCTCGTTGTGTGCAGAAGAACGCATGCAGGAAATGTCAGGACTACGGCCAAGAGCTCAGGCACAGCCAGCCAGTCCCCTGCTGAATACCAACAATCTGGTGGCTACACCGAACTCAGAACAGGTGAGTCTTATTTAATAATATATTAACATTCTTAATGCTAATCGCTTTCCTTAATCCTCTCTTGCAGGGCATCAATACCATAGCCGTGGCAATCACAACGACTACGACATCAGCGGCAGTGCATCATCAGATGAGTTCCGACACTGTTGGCCTCATCCAGCCGCCTCCAAACCAACAGCTACCAGCAGCTGCTCTCGAGCGAGAGAAGAATCACCTGAGTTATCCCCAGCAGCAGCTACAGCCGTATCAGGGCAGGAATCCCTGCCAGGAGCGTAACCTAGCACCTCTTCCCTTGCGCACTCCACCCGTCCTGGTGGAGCGTAGCAAGAAGCACAGCTTCCAGACACAGCCACAGGAGAACTCACTGTCCTGCCTGGAGCACGATGTCAGCGTGGAGGAGCTGATAGCCAGTCATCACAATCACCAGCAGCAGCAGCAGCAACTCCAGCAAAAGAACACCATAGTCAGCATTGCCGGGACCAATACGAATCCCAGCCTGGGTCAGGGATTTCCCAAGCAGCAGAACACGGATCAAAAGCTCAGGGGATGGCATGGTGTTAGGGCTCTAATCCACAAGAAGCTCTTCCGCAAGGAGCATGCCGAGGAGCTATGCCGGCAGCTGCAGCTGGGCGAAGAGAAGTCCAACCTGGTGACGGCACTGCGTCGCCCCAATAACCTGGACTTGAGTCCGCGGCTGGACAAACCCACACCTATACAGTTGAGGAGTGCGGAGCAGCGAAGTGGAACTCCGGCACACATAGTTCCCAGATCCCTGTCGAGCAGCCTGATTAAGCACATGAATGGGAGTAGCACCAGTACCAACAATAACTCCATTTTGAGCCATGGCAGCGAGCTGCAGACCCTCACCCGTCCCGCTACGAAGCGAAGACCTGGCCACCTGCGTACCAATTCCCTGATGGCCACCACAACCACCTCGGGTCACCAGGGTCCGCCCACGGAGCAGCAGATGCGTCGCCAGCATAGTCTGGAGGTCTTCCGTGAGGTCTTCAGCGGACGGGGGAGCAGCGAACGCTTGAGGGATCCCAGCGAAAGGGTCAAGACCCCAGGGGATGTCCCGCCATCGGTGAGAAAGGCCAGGGCTAGCAAGACCCTCAGTCTGTACGATGATCGTATGATGGACTCGTCGCTGCTCAACATTCTCTAGCATGAGGAGGTCCTGCTGCTGGAACTATAAACCCGGGCAGCAGGACAAGGAACTGGACTCATATCTCATCCTTCATCGAACACATATTCAACGATAGCCATAGAGCAGAAGACTTGAATCGCTTCCTGGAACAGTCTTCTCACATAAAGGAAAAGGGGACAGTGTTTTGGGTTTTCAGATTCTTTTGATTTCAATACTAATTAAATTTAAAATTTAAATCAAAAGAATCTAGTTAATACAGAAAACCCATAGACAACCCCCTACGAAAACATTTATTTTTCGAACATACATATAGTAGCCTGGAGGAGTTCACAGATCGTATGTGTATATCTAGATGTATTTTTTCACCAATCATCCTAGCGTGTAGTGCGGCAAACAACCAAAGTCCTTATAGGTTAGATCTGACTAGAATCGTACGGAGTATCAGTATATAGAGCAGGCAACCTGCCCCCCAACAACCATATATAAATATATATATTTTTGACTTGAACTTGAACTTGAACTGGGACAAGAGCGACACAGGTAGTAGACGACTATATAGTTTATATATATATTGATGTATGTACGCGGTTTTCACTCGAGTTGAGCTTAAGGTGCAGTGAGACAACAAGCGGGAAGACACTGAGATGGTAGGGGCTTGGTCGGACCATTTTTATAGAGCCATATATATGCTAACGATCCCCATATATCTATAACGAAACATTGTACTGGAATATTTAGTCAACACAACACACCTTTACTTACATACACGAGGGATTGTCATCATACAAAAAAGGAGCACAAAATACTCGTTTCCGAGGCATTTGGTTAACAATCTCTAAAACCCATTTCTTATGAACAAAAGACAGCCCCATTTGTTCGAGTATTTGGAAAACATCAACCTTTGGATGAATTTTCAATGAATGCCTTTTTGTCGTTCTCTTTAGTACTTAGACCAAAACACCCGCAGCCTTTCAATCACATTAAATGCAAGTCTAGTTATATATAATTTACACTAATTATAAACTAATTTAATACAATTAATAAACGAATTATTTAAAAATTGTATAATAAGTCTGTGTTCTCTCAAGAAGTAGTGTTCCAAAATGGACTTAGATGTAAAACTTATTCGGTACGTGGTCGCAGCTCGATGAGAACGGGAGCATCGGGTTTGTTAATCAGCAAGGTCTTGACATCCATCTCGGCATCGGAACCGCTCCAAATCAGTTCAAAGTCGCGTACCAGCTGTAAGAGTTATAAAGGTATTTAAGAATAAGTATGTAAGAAGCTGGAGAGGATTCCTATTCACTTACCCGAAGGAGAAGGATGTGCATATTCTGCTCGGCCAGGCGTCGGGCAATGCAGGCCCTCATTCCATGACCGAAGGGCAGGACTAGGTAGGGATTCAGGGCACTCCGATGCTGGAGCCAACGATCCGGCTTGAAGAGTAAAGGCTCCTCAAAGTGCTGGGGTAGTCGACATGCAACCATGTTCTGGGTTACCACTGTAGTCTATATATAACACATTATATAGTATTTAGTATAATATTAATTCCCAATTTATATCTCACCCCCTTGGGCACAAAGTAACCACTGAAAACTGCATCCTGGTTGAGTATCCTGCCCACACCCACAGCTATGGGATTGAGGCGCAAAGATTCCTTGAGAACAGCCCTTGTATATGTAATATCAGTACGCAGGACATCTGCAGATAGCTTCTCCTTGGCATTGGGTAACACTCTCTTGGCCTCCTCGAAGAGTCGCTGCTGTACCTCCGGATTCCTGGCCACATGATAGAGCAGAAAAGCCGAGGCATACGAGGTGGTATCTATTCCTGCCAGGAGCAGATCTGCAGCTGTTCCCACGACATCACTGCGATCCAGTTCTGGATTTTTGAGGTAAGCTGAGATGAGCGAGGAACCTATTGATCCTTTCTTTATATTCTCCTCTAAAAGTTCCAGAGCCACTCCCTCCATGTAGGATTGGGCATGACTTAACTTCCGATAACTGGGCGTCTCCAGGAAGCGCCACAGCTGAAGACCCTGATCCGTGGGCAGGATGCAACTATTTGTGGTCTCAGCAGCATGCATCAAACGTGTGGAACGGGACTCCGGATCCTGTTCCTTGGGGGAAAAGGACTGCAGGCGGGCTCCAAAGGTAAGCAGACAGGTTACTATAGAAAGAGATTATTTAGGAAAGTGTTAGTAAAAAGTCTCCTTCAACTCCTTGTACTAAAAATCTGCACAACTGTTTACTTCACCGCAAAAGTACTTCTACACTTGACAATGTCTTGAACAACTTTGAATACTGAATCGCCGAGCAAATGATATTTAAACCTTTCGACGTCAGCAGTTAACTCCGCAGGTTTTGGTTGAATCAGCCTTATAAAACTAACATGACTTTGTCATTTACATTGCAACGGTATTTATAATGTAAAACCTTACTCGAAATAATTCAATTCCACCGGAGATTGCTTCACCGAGAATCTGCATTTCAAATCCTAACTATAGAATCTATAATTTCCATCCGATCTGTGATCGAATCTCGAACTTACATTCCAAATTCAATCTGGTGAGTTTGGGTAGCATATCGATGGCCTCACTGCCGCCATTCCGTGACTCTTGGAGAAATCTTAGGAATTCCTGGGTCACTCCATCCACTTGGCCAACAAAGCTACGCACACTCTTTGGGGCACTTAGTTCCTTTTGGAGTTGGGCACGAAGGCGCCACCAGTCCGGACCATTGGTGGGCAGCAGTCCCGTGGTCTTGTACACTTCCGGTCTCCTCTGACGGTACTGGGCCAGGGCCAGGTGACTCCTCCGCTGAGGACAATCGCGTTCGTTGAGCAGCGAAGCAATATCCCGAGGATCGTACAGCCAGACAATGTCCTGCCGGGGCACTATGACTTCCCTGACAATTGCTCCATATTTCTCGTACTTATCCTGCCCGGCCTGGTGTAGCTTCAGCCAGGAGTAGGATCCTATTCCCGGCAGATAGTTGTAGAGATTGCCCATACCGAAAGGGCCACGAGGTCCTGGAATGGCCTCATAGGGCTTGGCAAAGGTGCACTGCCTCGACGTGCAGCTAATCTTTAGGAGTTTCGTTAGCATTTCTCTGGGTTCTTTCGGGAATTCTCTGGATGTCTTTTCGCGGCAAATTCTGGAAATGCACTGAAGATTTTAGGGTTTTATTGCTGCTGCTGGCTCAGCATTTGGGTTTTGCAAAAGGAATGGATCGCTTCCATTGTCTCACTTGTCGCAAAAGCAATAAAAACAAACTCGGGCCTTGAGGTTGGCTGTCTACCTGGTGAATTTACCGCAGTTTGGTCTACCTGAGCTGGTAATCTCTTAAGAGGAAGGTGCTCTTTGGTACACTCTTCACTTGGAAGAGAGTTTGAATGGGATACATATCGGGAGAGTGAGGTATATATAGTCTGGTATACTTTTAGGCCGGATATTTTACTATATAAAGTATATATATTATTGATCAGCATCAACATATAAAAAAATCTATTCCATTAATACGAATATTTCACGACCCTATAATTAAATTGCAAACTGCAAATGTATACCAATTTCTTTAAAATTTCTTAGATATCCGTATCTTTAAAAATGAGACAAATTAAAACGACTAATCCCATAGTTTTAATCCCATAAAAACGATTAAGCTCCAAGAAGAGCTTAAGATTTCCCAACGTTTGACTGAATTAACATTTAAATTAACTATCTACCAAAAAGGCAACTCTCAAATATAGGTTAAGACCCAAAAAAGGCTATGACATATGTTAACTTTTCGCAAACTCATAAATTAAATCAACACTTTGGTTTGAAACTGTGACAAAATAAAAAAAAATCTAAAAGAAATGAGGAGATTGTTACATTTATTTATTGCCAGTCTTTATAAGGTCTTTAGTATTAATATTTAATAAATTATAAACAATCTGAGAAAGCTGCTCATTAATCCTCCTTTTTGTCCTGCAGAGTCTTCTCTTTTGGATGCCCAATAAATCCTCTTCTACATTTTCATTCAAGTTCGTTTTTTCATCATCTGGAATGTGCGATTGATTTCCGGCTAATAACTCCTTCTCACCTTCGATCATTTCTTGCTGCAAATCGTTTATTAAATCGCTGCTTTGTTCCAAATTCGCGGGCTCAGTTTCCACGGCCACCTTCTTTACTTTTCTGCGTTTTTTAAGATCCTTTTTCTTGGAGGCTTTTACGATATTGGAGATCACGTGCACTAAATTCAATACGAAAACCAAAATGAGGACAACCGGCACTGCCAGGACATCCAGAGAGTGGGCCACCAAGAAGTTCTGGTCAATGGTCTCCGCATTCTTGAAGAAACGAGGATCGGCAATAAGTTGCTCTGCATGCCAAATGGCGATTTCTATGGGGGATTGCAAACGGGAACGGAACTTGTGCTGGGCACGGTACAAAACGGTGGTAAAGTGGTCAACATCGAGGATCGAATGGAGAGCCTCAGACAAGGCTTTCAGATGGAATTCGCTGGACGAAACCATAACGCCCAAGTTGCGTTCCTTTACGCGCTGAGCAGTCTGCAAAGCAAAGGGGTTAATGTATATTAATTACTATAATTTTTACTCACATTAAACTGTTCCAAATTCAGGGGAAGAACAACCATGGGCACTCCATAATTAACAGCTTCCTGGATACTGAAACTGTCGCCATGATTGAGGAAGCCCTTGACTGCAGATGCAGCTGAAAATTCCAGATTGCAAGCCATTTTAAAAATAATTATAAATAAATAATAGTGGATATTCTTACCGAGTATATCCTGTTGCAATGATTGATCGGCATGCAGGGTTAACAAATTTGGCATTTTCGCTGGCAGAATTTCCATATCATTCACATTCCAAATAAAGCCACAATTGGGATTGTCGTGAATCATATCGACCATAGCCTCGAATCCCTGATAGATCGATTCGATGTATTCCATATTGATGTACACAATGCCATAGATGAATTTTTCCATGAAATTTTCTATATAGGAAGGCAGAGGCTTGGGCTCGTCCTTAATGTGAAGTCCACCCACTTCAATGACGCTTGGTGGCAGGTTCTGTATGTAATCCACCGTAGGATGTGTGTTCAGCAAAACAAGTTTCAATTTGGGAAAGATTTTATGTGTTGACACGGTTTTATCGAGAACGGGGCGAATGATAAGCCAGTTGATTCTAAGGATGAATATATAAGATCACAAATATTTAAATATTAAAATTAGTAAATAATTATTTCCCTAAATATAACTCACATTGGCTCCCCCAAATACATGATGTGGTTATGCAGTCGGTTCCAGAAGCCCATGTTCCAGGACACCTGACTGAGATGATGCGGAGTCCTGGCCGCATTTATAGTATCCTCCGCCTGAAGCAAAGCCATCAGGTCCGGGGTGAGTTTGCCAGCACTTAGTCCCAGAACAGGTACAGTGTCCAGGGCAGAAACCAAGTCCAAAAGACAATTGGCACCCTCAGTGATATCCGCGATAATTAGATCAAAATCCTGACCTCCTTGAGCTACCAACTCGGGAAGCAGACGTTTAAAAGTATCGGACTCCATCATGGCCCGGCAGCTGCCCAGGATTACTTCGTACCAGACAAGGAGCTGCTTAAGAGCCACCATTTCCTGGTACTTTCCGGTTCTCTTGTCTATGAAGTGCTTCTGCATCAGATCGTATTCATTGGGCAAATGGTAATACACCAGCCCCTCTTCGGGAGCTTTATTGGGCTCAGCGGTGCTGAGCACCGTCAGGTGGTGACCCTTGGCCAGGAGGGCATCAAAGAGCGGACGCGACCAGCCGGGATTATTGTGTTTGGCGGAACTCACCACACAGAGGATATGTGCCGCCTCCAGGTAGCAGAAGCTTCCCAGTAGGAGGAGCACGGCCAGCGGGAAAGCAGTCTTCATTGCTCCACTTTCTGTCCACCACTGAGTCACGTTTGTTGCTGGTTAACCGGCACCGATAAGATTTGCTTTTTGTTTTTTGTAATGGATTTGTAGAGTAGATAAGGTTTTTGCTTTTTTCGAGAGATATCGAAACGAAAGCGAGCGACGAATGTATATGAAAGTATGACAAACAACTGAAGCTAAGAGCATGGGTTGCTTGATAATAAATATGTTTGCCGGCAAATGTTTGTTTCCATTTTGTTAACTAAAGATATTTTAATGGAGAAATGTAATAAATCAAATCATATTACTGAAAAATTTATTTTATATTATTATTCGATTTAAATAAGGGGAATATTTTAAGCAATTGCAATCTGTCAGAGTTTAAGTGAGTTTCCTGTTTCATTATAATACATATTCATCTTTATACCATTTGCGGATCCCCTAATAACATTTACATTCCTTTGTACACAATAATAACACCAGTTTCAATTTAAATAATTATTTATTATCTTCAAACTTCTTAACAATACACAAAATAATGGTTCGTACTAAGATCCTAAAGTTTCCAGGCAACGGGTGTTCATTCCTCTTAAATGAACAGCTATTGGCCAAGAAGCTGTTATCAATATCGTTATCATTATTATTGGTTTAATCGTAGTTTATCATATATTATTTTGTATGGGGAATACCAAGGGATGGATGAACAGAGAGCTTTGTTTATTTACTTTTCGTTAATATGGCAAGATTAATACGTGAAACGATTTCTCCCCCATCACTTTCAACATCGGTGTGAGTGTGTTCCCCTAAAAGACCTATTCTAGGCGCTAATTGCACATAGTTTCGATATACATAAATTAAGTTATAATGTAAATGTGATTAAGCATTAAATTAATTAACACAGATGTCGTTTTCTTTGTGTGTAAATGTGCGGGCAGGAAGGAAGAGTAGAGTAGAGTAAGCGTGGTGGTTATATGTACAGGTTAATCTTAAGAGGCGGGGACTTCCCCTGGCTGAGGTTCTACGGTTAGTTTTGGTGCCTCGTTTCGAGTGGGTCGGTCGTTCGGTCGGGGGAATGGGTTAAGTGCAGCACCTTCGATATGGGTGGGTTGATTATTACAGGTCCTAATCCTACCCTGTATCGATATACATCCTTGTGTCACAGAGATCAACCCACACAAATCCCCATCGATGATCCTATTCGTTGACCAGCCGTGCTGGTCCGGGTTCATCGAAAGGCGCTCCATTGGCTCCCACATACTGGTTGTTATTCCGGTGTACGAATCCCCTTCCGGGAGCGGCATTGTAGTACACCACCCGCCGAATGCCAAAGGGATCCACATAGCCAAAGCTACCGGCTCGCTTTCCATCCGAAGGATTCGTTTCCTCCTCGTGATATTGCTTGGGCAGCACATATCGGAAGCCATTCCGGGTGCTGGCTATGCCATCATACTCGGAGGCTGCCAGTCCTTCCAGGTGATTGCTCTGTGCAGGTCTGGGACGTAGACGCCTTCGATAGCCCCTAGAGGGCAGAGGCGGCAGCAGGGCTGACTCTAAGGAGTTCACCTCCAACGGTGACTGCGGCAGTGGAGGATAGTAACCATATCCAGTGCCGGAGGATGTGGCAGGCGGGGAGTATTGATACGCAGGAGCAACAAAAGGCTGTGGCGTTGAGTAGCCATACAAATCCCCACCAGAAATGGGAGCAGGCGTACTAGAAACAATTGCTATGGGAGCTGGAGTGGGACGCGGACGCAGTCGTCTTCTGTGGGCACTCAGAGGAGGCAGCATATCCAAAGCTGGAGGTCTGGCCGTTGTGGAACTGATCACAGAGCCAAACTGACCATGACCAAAGGCACGATCTGCCTCGGCATCGTACACATTGATGGCATTGAGCTCCAGCTCCGGGACAGGCTCCGCATTGGGATGAATGTCCACCAGTGGCTGATGTGGTGACGATATATCTGACTGATATATCTGTTCCTGTGCCCGAGGCAATTCATCTGGATAGTGATCGAATCCTAGCTGGGATTGTGGCTCAATCTTGGCTGCCTGCTCCGGTGGCAGATAGTTCAGCTTGCCCACGCCAGCTTCCTCTAGGATATCTAAAGGAGGCAAGGCTGCAGGTAGTGGTGCCGGTGTGGTGGTTGAGGTGGTACTGGACACATAGCCATAGCCTGCTCGCTGATAGTTACCCAGACTGTTGACCGAGGAGCCTGCAGAGCCACCGCCGCCATGAACCAGGACGCCCGATTGCGCTGGAGCTGCCTTGGTGGATTTAATGGCGTCCTAAAGGGAATGAAATTAAATATAGTTTAAAAGATCTCTTCATTAATTTTCTGATAATCCTTCAACTTACCTCAACAGCTCTTCCCACGCCCACGTATATAGTCTTGGACTTGAGTATCCTGTAGCCCTGCTTATCGGCTATATAATCCTTTTGCCTCAAATAACCAGCTGCATCGATCCAGGCCTCAGTGCCTGTTATAAAATTAATTGAAAATCGTAGAGTTTAGTGAACTCCCTCGCAAATAGTGTATGTGTTCGATCACTCACCTATTACGGTGCCATCCTGAAGCCGCTTCTCCTTGCGGAACTGGCCGCTGTCCGTTTGGAAGCGGAAGTACCGCTCCGGTCCCTCATCCGTCTGGATGTGATATTGGTTCGCACTCGGCGCCTGGCTTCCAAAGATGCCAGAAACGACCGCTGCCAGGGTCATCAGTGCCAGCTGCAAAGGAAAGTTTTGTTCGATGAGTTGTGTTTTTGGGGGAATGGCTCCCGACTATTGGGTTTTTCTAACTAATCACATCCGCCGGCAAAAGTTGCCCCAAACCAAAAACAGGCGGCTTTCCGGTGGGGCAACTAACCAAACTAACTTATGCAGAAAGCAAAATAATATCAAGTTTATTATTGCTACTCGTAATATTTAATGTCGCCAATTTATGAGTACTTATTTGTTAAGTAAAGTAACTCGGCAAACAGTTTTTGCTGATACTTTCAACATGAGGTTTTTGTACATCATTAAAGATAGTTTTTTAAGAAATAAACTAGAGATTATGGTGGTAATATTCCCATTTATTTCTCCCAGTGTGTGGCACGTTTCAGAGTCAAGGTGACACCACTAGACCGGTAGGAATCAATGGCACACGATGCGGTTGTGCAACATTCAGGCAGACCGCGTGCGGAAATGCAGTATGTGAAAGTGCTTTTTCAGAGCTGTCATTTCCACAGCAGCAGCAACAGCATCAACAGCAGCAACAGCATCAACAGCAGCATCAACAGCAGCTGAATCAATAACATCAACACAGAAATCAAACCATTAAACCATCAACAATAACAAAACCAGACCGGTTCACGTGGCGTATGCGTAATGCAGATGACTCGATTTGGCGGTACAGAGGATTGGCATGACTTGTCTTGACTTGGCTCACGGTTAAGGTTGGAACTGAAATTAAAATTCTTTGGCCAATTATTCTAATGTATAAAGCCACCCGCACGTCGCAGCATTTACGCTTCAATTACTTTCAGCATTCCGTCATAAATTTCCAACACCTCACCAGGTGAGGGAGGTGTGTAGGAGTTTTTGTGGGTGGATCAACTCTGAGGCTAATTTCGGCTGCCGCTGACATTTTTATTTGTTATTTTGTATTTTTTTTTATTATAATTTCGTGCTTGTTACTTGCTTATTATTATTCGACATGGTTCGACGCAATTTATGGCACTTTAATTAATTGTTGCTGAGACATTTTTTCGGAATAATCAGAATATATATTTTTGAACTTCCCTGAATAGGGGGACCCCTCCCATTCCAGATGATTGCGAATTATCTCATTGATTTATCGCTCTAATGACTACCACCTGTCACTGACTAAACGTGGTTATAAATCATATTCTAAGGAGGCAGATTACATCAGCAACAAATATGTAAAAATTCCCCAGCACTTTCTTCTAAAGCATTCACAAATATTTAAATGAGGAGCGAGAACAAAAGAAATTCTTGATCGGTTAGTAAACAAAATTTACGATAATAAACAATGAGAAAGTAAGGCCTAAAGCAATAAGCAAATTAATATAATTTTGGTATTTTATATACTTCCTATAATAAGCTTTTAAATGAACCCTTAACTCTTCATAAGAAATTGTAGAAATTAGTTCTTTAACATCTTGTAAAACCCAACTCCTTTGGCCTGTGAAAATGCAATGACATCACCACCTTAAAATAGTTTGTATACATATTACCAAAAACATATAACCTGTCACTTTTCTTTGAAACTCTTAGTAGTTGATAATAAAATAGCAAATTGCGTCCCATTTGCGAGATATTCGCGTGTCGAAGTCACAGTCACCATGCCCATTTATACATCTATTACTTTGGGTATCCAGCAAACTTCGTGCGAGCACAGATGGAGATTTATTTGATCGGCTAACGCAACGAAATAAATTGCGAGCAAATTATTGCGACTGTTTCCGCTGTGTTTTTGGCCAAAAACGAGAGTAAAAGTGGCCACCGGCCAACGGCGTGGAGGGTTAGGAGAGATCTCTCAATGAAATTTTCTGCCCTGAATTGGTAAGTAAAATGCAGTGAAAGAAATTGTCAAGCGAAGTAACATTCTCTTAAAAATATTTATAATCAATAAATTTCAAGGGGAATATGTATATATTCAAAATATGATCCTTAAGTTTTCTGACATAAATTAGACACTTTAAATAGTCAATTTCTATTATGCATTGTTTCTAAAATAACATGATATTTAAATGGATTTAATGTATAGTTTTCTGATTAATTGGTATGCATTTTATTACGAACCCAACTAAAATAATTTTCTGCTGTGTCTTGGCCAGTTATCCAACTGGTTTCTTGTTTGGACGGATGCTTGCCTCTGCAGCATATGTTGCAGTTGCAGTTGCAGTTGCTGTTGCTTGTTGAGGTTTCTGCTGCAAAGTCTGCGGAGTCTGCGGCGGTTACGTGAGAATCGCCTGGCAAGATGACTCCCGACGTGGCGAACTCCTTTTGGGCGCGATCAAAAGTGGAAAATCACGTTTTCCTTGGCGCGCAATTTGGTGTTTACTTTATTGTTTTCCCCTCAAGACTTGCCTGTCGAAATGGTAACAAAACAGCAACCAGAGTTTCTTTTTTGCCGTTGCGCAATCATCGCCCCACAGCCTCTACCACAACCCCTCCTCTACCCTTTTTTTGTAACTTACGCAACCTAAAATTGCTCGGCTGACCCCAAAAAATAATAATAGCTGAACAAAGAATTCTGCAAAATACTAAACTCAAAAAAAAAAAAAAAAAACAAAGCAATCATAACTCCCCATTGTCGCTGACCTTCGCTCTGATCACAGTTTGCTTTTAATTAAAACCCACTTCAATTACGATCGCTCCGCTCCAAATTCACCATCTCAGAGATGATAAATGAGGCGGGGAAAACTCGAATTTAATGCTTTAGTTTTTGTATCTTTTCAACCTGCATTCTGAGCACGAACAAAGACCTAATGAATCCCATATACTGGCAAACCATCGAGACTTTCAAATCGATCCGACACATGTGGTTCGTATTTGATTTCGCTCAATGGTTTGGTTCCGATTTGCTGGTTTCGTTGGATTTTTTCGGGGAGTGTTTTTGCATACTTCCCCTCCCAGGGAGTGCATGTTGCGATGATTATTTATTCGCTATTTCCCTGTTTTCAAATTCGATTACGTAGCTTCCGCCTGGAGGATGGGTGGCTGCCATGAATCATGCGGCATGGAAACCCACAGAAATCGAGAGCGGAAAATCTAGTTCATGTCGCAAGCGGATGCCTGTCCAAGTTGGTGGAAAATCCGCTTCTAAATGGTCATGTTTTTTAGCCAAGACCATGAGTCTGGCGGTGAGGAAGCTTCAGAGAAATCGAGAGTGGAAAATCTAGTTTCAAAGACTTTTCTTTATTTGGTAGAAGAAAATCTTTGATGATTCACAAGCTGCATTTGTTTGTTTTTTTCATTTAGCAAAAACAAATCTTGTTAATATGATATATAATATGGAAATTTAATAGCAGCCTTAAATGGTTTCCATGTATTATTTTGATGTAATCTTAAATTATATATTACGAAAAACAAACTTAATTCCAATTTTAATTAACAAAATACAAAAGACTTAAGACACAAACTTGAAAATAAATTTAGATAAAAACCAACCGAAACAAATCGGTAGCTAAGTAGTCATTAACACCAAAACTTTTACTGGATAGATTCCCCTGTTAATTCTGATCAAGAATATATACGATTTATAGCGTCGGAAATGATTCCTTCACTGTGTTTCAATGTACTGACTGAAATTATATTCTGCAAAAAAGGTATAAAAACAGTCAATTTCATAGAAAAATCAATGTTTTCCAAACATCATAATTAAGCCAAAATAGTATTAGCATACCACGTTTGTTGATGCAATTACAAGTTTTTGACTACAATAAAAAAAACCTTGCAAAAAGGTATAAAAACAGACAATTCTTCCAAAAAATCATAGTTTACAAATCTCATAACTAAGCCAAAAACTCATTAATTTTAATTTGGAAAGCTGCTCAGTGCTAGTTTTGACTAGATTAACAAATCTGCATACTCAGTTTTTAAATTTAAGAAATTCAATTTTTGTCATTTTTTAAAAAAATCATGATGTAACCCCTTATGAAAATTTCAAATTTTAACAAAATTCGGAAAATGTTATTTATCTTTTAGACATGATAATGAGATTCGCCTGTTCATTCCGATCAAGAATATATATGATTTATAGGGTCGCAAATGATTCCTTCACTTTTTTTATTCGTCTGACTGAAATTATATTCTGCAAAAAAGGTATAAAAACAGACAATTTCATAGAAAAATCAATATATTCCAAACATCATAATTAAGCCAAAATATTATTAATTTTGATTCGGAAAGCTGTTCTGTGCGAGTTTTTAAAGCACTAACAAATCTGCATACCACGTTTGGTGATGCAATGAAAAGTTTTTGACTACAATAAAAAATCTTTGCAAAAAGGTATAAAAACAGACCATTCTTCCAAAAAATCATAGTTTACAAACCTCATAACTAAGCCAAAAACTCATTAATTTTAATTTGGAGAGCTGCTCAGTGCTAGTTTTTACTAGATTGACAAATCTGCATACTCAGTTTTTAAATTTAAGAAATTCAATTTTTTGTCGATTTTTGAAAAAAATCATGATGTAACCCTTATGAAAATTTCAAATTTTAACAAAATTCGGAAAATGTTATTTATCTTTTAGACATGCCAAATAAGATTCGCCTGTTCATTCTGATCAAGAATATATATGATTTATAGGGTCGCAAATGATTCCTTCACTTTTTTTTATTCGTTTGACTGAAATTATATTCTGCAAAAATGGTATAAAAACAGACAATTTCATAGAACAATCAATATATTCCAAACATCATAATTAAGCCAAAATGGCATTAATTTTGATTCGGAAAGCTGTTCTGTGCGAGTTTTTAAAGCACTAACAAATCTGCATACCACGTTTGGTGATGCAATTACAAGTTTTTGACTACAATAAAAAAATCCTTGCAAAAAGGTATAAAAACAGACAATTCTTCCAAAAAATCATAGTTTACAAATCTCATAACTAAGCCAAAAACTCATTAATTTTAATTTGGAGAGCTGCTCAGTGCTAGTTTTTACTAGATTAACAAATCTGCATACTCAGTTTTTAAATTTAAGAAATTCAATTTTT